TTATATATACTCGTACAATGAACCGAATAACGTAAATTCGCCGTTAAATATAAACTTTTCAATGCACAATAACAAAAAGCATATCGGTCTATATATGTAAAGCTCTGAGTATTTCTTGCATCTATATACGCATATAAACATATATATGTATATACGCTTTCACATGAGGAAGCGATTCATGAATGCAAAATTCTCGATCCGCCCCCAATTTGATGACGCATGCGAATAATCGTAAAAAGAAACCAAACGACTTGCAGCAAAAGGGATTCCGTCGGGAATGTCATTCTTTAATGAAAAATATGCACTTATACATACATATGTATGTACATACATATATCGTAATACAATAAGTATATTTTCTGTTGTTTATTAATCGTAGATAAGAAGTGAGTCAATGAGAAATGCCTGCATTTGCTGTGCGCCAAGTTATGCGCTTTCCGATATTGTATTGTACGTACATAAAATTTCCCTTTTAACATATTTCTAAATTAAGCATTTCTTTTTTTGTGTTTTATTTCATTTAATTTTATTTTAAATTGCTTAATTTATTCATTTTTCATTTTTTTAAACTCTTCTTCTATGTTTCAATTTCTCTTTCTTGTTATATTATTTTAAGTTATTGCTTTTTTTATTTATTTTATTTTTTCATTTGTTTAATTTATTGCATTTCTTTATTTTATTTCATTTTTTCTGTTAAGTTTCAATTTTTTTTTATTGTTTTATTTTATATTTTACTTAATTTAACTTGTTCTTTATTTTGTTTTATTTTATTTTATTTTCTATTTTGTCTTGTTTTATTTTTTTATTATTTAATTTTATTTCATTTTAATTTTTTTTTAGTTTAGTTAAGTTAGTTTTGTATTATTTTATTTTGTTATATTTCAGTTTCATTTACTTTATTTCATTTCATTTTAATTTAAAATATTTTATTTCATGTTATTTTACTTTATATTTATTTTGTCTTGTTTTGTTTTATTTTAAACTGCCTAATTTATTTATTTTTTATTTTATTTAAATTCTTCTGCTTAGTTGCAATTTCTTTTTCTTGTTATTTTATATTAAGTTGTTTAATTTATTTCGTTTTTTTATTTCATTTTATTTTTTTTTGTTAAGTTTTAATTTATTTTGTTATTTTTTTTTATAGTTTATTTATTTTAACTAATTTTTTTATTTTATTTTATTTTTCTTGTTTAATTTTTTTATTTCGTTTTATTTTGTTTCTTTAGTTTAGTTAAGCTTAGTTTATTTTGTTTCCACTTTATTTTATTTTATTCTATTTTATTTTTTAATATTTTAGTTTATTATATAATAGATCATTTTGTTTTACTTTATTCTATTTTTTACTCTTTTATTTTATTTTATTTCAATTTATTTTATATTACTTTATTTTATTTTGTTTTATTTATTTTTTATTTTATTTGACTTTATTTTATTTTAGTTTTACTTTATTTTATTTCACTTAAATTTATTTTATTTCGTTTTATATTATTTTATTTTATTTTATTTTACTTTATTTTAGTTTATTTTTATTTTATATTATTTTGTTTTATGTTATTGTGTTTTATTTTATATAACTTTATTTTATATAATTTTATTTTACTATATTATGTTTTACTATTTTTTATTTTACTATATTTTTTTATTTTTTATTTTTTTTTTGTGTTATTTTATTTCATATCGTTTTATATAATTTTATTTTAATTTGTTTTTTTTCAATTCATTTATTTATTTTTTATTTTATCAATTTTTTTTCAATTTATTTAATTTTATATTATTAGTTTATGTGGTTTTTTTATTTTTCATTTTTATATATTCTTTTTAATTTAATTTAAATTATTTGGATATTTTATTTACAAAGGCTTTTGTCAAATACGCGCCTACCAGACTGTTTATTGCAAAAGGAATTGTTATAAATAATATTTTGTATTTACTCATTTCTATTTGACTCACTGCCTTAACTTCTGTTTGCATCATTCATGCTCGAATTATTTATTTTATCGCATATATTTATCTGCCTTTTAATGTCATGCTGATAACATTTGTGCAAATAATTATCGCAAAGGCCGACAAACCAAAAAATGAAATTAAAAACATAGACATACTAAGTTAATAACACTAAAATACCTTCATCTTTTATTGCATTCTTCGGGTCCCTAATGATTTAAGCACATAAATTGGTATGTACATGACAGTGGATACAAAGATCTGCTGATCATGACAAACACATCAGCTAATGCCAAGGTAAATGGAGCGAAATTTTGTTTTTTTTTTATTATTATTCCCCCGCTTCAATTCATTACCACTTTCAGAGCTGCATAATTTCGCGTAACCGTCCGTATCCATAACAAGCGATGCAGTTTATTCTCTGTTGTTGTGGCGTTTCGTTTGTTGAACCCTTCTTTGGCGTTCAAGGGCATTTTTTTTGTCATATATGTATCTTAGTCTCTCGTATTGACGAGCAAGTGCGCATTTTGAGAAATGTAATAAGAAACATACATAAATAATTGCAAACGAAAATAAGCGAGAAAGCTTAATTTTCACAGCCGACACAGGCGGCGTATTTTATTTGGTCGCTCTTTTTCTGCATTTATTGTTGCCCAATATGAGGGACTTAAATTGAGTTAATATGTGTTTCTTTAATATTTATAATTTAAATTTAAAGGCTTTAGAAAACATAACGATAGCTTATGAATAAATAAAACAAAAATTTATGAATTTAAAACTCTTATGATTTGGCAAAGATATTCATTAGATTTATATGGCAACTAGATATCGACTATCGAAGTAATGTAAATATCGATAACGTCAAATTAAAAACCCATTCACAAATATAATAATCAACCGAAATGTGGTTTGGTGATATACATACATATATTCCTAAGCAAAGCGATCTACTGTATCAGCTGATTGAATTTAATACTACAAATTATTATTTGGTTCCTTTCATCAATATTGATTTCCTTTTAATGATACATTAAATTGCGGTTAATCGAACGAAAGGTATTATATTTCATTACTTTCACTTTTAATGAAGACTTTTTATTTTAAGCCGCATGTATGAATGTGTACATACATATCACCTTAAATGACCTATCAAATTCCTCTTATTGTTTATAAAGAGTGTTTTTTAAACATCTGGTTTTCAAGATAAAAAAACGCATATAAAGGGTAATGGATTTCGAGGTTCCCTACTTTTTTTTTTAAGAATGAGCACAGAAAATTCAAATTCAATGGGGAATGCTTATTATCGTCACACAGAAAAAAATCTAATGGTATGATATCCCACGATGATGGTGACCAATGGACCGTACCAAAACGTGAAATTATCTGCTGACCGAAGAGTGATCTCAATCAATGGATGAATTAGAAGGGAAGAGGTGGCGTCTTGTTGAAACCAAATGTTGCAGAGATCACGAGCTTTAGGCACCAAATAGTCGGTTATCATGGCACGATAATAGTCACGATTGACGTCTACGTTCTCACCGGCATCATTTTTGCAGAAATATGGACCGATTATGATTACATACCCATTGAGCCCGAAATGAACCCTATAGCTGAACAAAATTTGGCTCAAAAACGTCTGGTCTTCTTGGAACATTTCAAGAGCCCATAGAGCGAAGCAATTTCGCTTGGGAAGGTCGAGGATTCAGTTCTTGCTCAAACTGTCATTTCATACGTCAGGCCGATTGGCTACGAGCCGACTCATCACGGCCCTCGTGTACACTCTCTGCTACGACCGCTATAGTTTCTTCACTGCGTGCTGGACGTAGTCTATTCGGTCGAAAACTATCCAATAATTAGTGCTGTCTTTAATAACTTCCAGCCGAGATACCCAATTTCCCATTTCACTTTTTTCAGCAATTGGGGCTGTATGTCAGCAATTCTCTTCCAAAACGTCAATCGTTTTGGGCCTATTCACCGAATGTGCCACGCGCTTGATGGTCGTTCCGACTACTTTCTTGAACGAGTTGGTTTTTGAAGCCCGTTAACTAATACTCGTTCTTCCTTAAAATATACGCGAAGGTGAATGGCCTCTTTCGGGTCTTCTTCAATACGCTCTCCACAGCAGCAATAACGTCTTCAATGCGCTCTATACGACATCTGTGAGGCTACGTTTTATCCACTAGAGTAAGCTTGGTGCGAAACCGAGTCATGATAGTTCGATTACTGACTCTGCTGGGCGATTATGTCGACCGTTACGGCAAATCAATATTTTGATAATAAATTTCTATGATTTGCAAGCAATCTTCCGAACTGAATAGAAATCAACTCCGAAAAAAGTATTGCCTCTCATTGATAACCACAAGTCTAAAAAAAAAGTACCCTTTATCAATAAATAATAATGTCAATAAGAAAGAAATGAAAATGAAAGCGCAATATTTAAAATTCATCAATATCGCTGCGATTAGAGCTCGTAAAAAACTCCCAATCTTATCTTGAAAGAATTTTTGAAATCGAACCGTAATAAAAATTTATTTTGGTTTAATGTTATATAACTTTGTTTATTTAATAATACATTTTTTGGTAGTTTGGAATGATCTTTATCTTATCGATAATCGGACCCTGTGCATAATGACATAAATATTTAATGCAAAAAAAGAAAATAAAATAAAAATTAACTTTGCAAAAATAAGTATGTCTCAATGTTGCAGTGGGAATTTTTTGTGAAAAATACTCAAAACTTTTGTACTGTTAATTTGGCTCTATTACAAAGAATATTGCACTGGCTGATGTTTTGAAAGGCTCGAAGTATTCTGAGCCTACCCAGGCGATACTGCGTCTGTTAATTTTTTTTTTTTAACTAAACTAAAAACTATGTCAAGGACGAGTAAGAAAATGATCGTATATGAAGGAACCCTCATTTTGAGTAAATACAAATATTTTTTTCTTTTTCGTAATTTCATTTGATTTTTTGGATTTGCAAAGTCAGAAAGAACAGAACAAAGAACGGAAAAGAATTTCCCAACACTAACATTGTCAATATATTCCCTGCTTTCCAGCTAAGTATCGTTTCACCCCCAACCCCATCACAACAACAGCCTCACAAAAATGCCGCAACGCGAGCAAAATGGCGGCATTGGCATTATGAAAAAGCTACGACGTTCTGCTTCCGCAACCGAACATAATCTCAGCGAATTACGTAAACGACGATCCAGTTCAGCGTTGCTAGATCAAAACGGAGTACCCATCGATTTGAATAAATATCGAAAGGTTTTGGATAAAGATGACAATGGCAATGGTAATGGTGAGAAGAAGCAGAGATATCGGCGGACACAGAGTGTAACACGTGCCGAAGAGATACAAAGTAAAGAGGAGAAACAACGTAAAGAGCAGCCAGATAAACCGTAAGTAAGAGTATAAGTTTTCAAAAAATAGGAAACCCTTTCATTTTGAAATCTGAAAATAATCAGCTGATAGCTTTTTCTTAAGTCAAAGCTTTTAAGCAGTGCTGTCAAGTTTTCTTTTAAGGGAAAAGCTCTGAAACAACTACTTTTAATGTTGAAAGCTTTTAAGATGCTGCAATTTAGTTTTAATTGATTTAATTAATTTCAAAACTTTTAAATGAAATCTATGGGATTCTTCTCAAGTGATATGATGAGTCTCTGCATTTTTTGATATATATCAGATGTCTTTTAAAAATCGATGACTACCATCGATAATTTTTTTTCTGCTTTCAGTTGCCATCGCCCGCGTGACTCACTCTTTTCATGGAGTTCGGGTTTTAGTAATTTCACAGGTCTCGTCAACTGGGGTTTCCTGCTATTAACAATCGGGGGATTCCGGTTATGTCTAGAAAACCTGCTCAAGTAAGTGCAGTTGTGGTTATCTTGTATATTTATCAGTTTCTCTGCTAAGGAAGTCATACACATACATATATCTAAGTTTAACTCATTTTGTTGAAAAATGCTCTGGAGAATGAATGATTTGAACCTCATTGGCGGGCCAAATAAAAAGCAAGATTTAAAAAAAAAACATTAAACTCTAAGAATTGTTAAATTTTTTGTTTACTATTTAACTTTAGTTTATTTCATTTTATTTTGTTTTTACTTTTAATTTATTTTACTTGAATTATTTTGCTTTAAATAAAGTTTTTTCATGTTATTTTACTTTATTACTAAATCTCATATTTTACTTCAATTTATTTTATTAAAAAAAAAATTATTTCGTCTATTATTTTATTATTATATTTGTTTTATTCATTTTATTGTTATTTTTCTTTTGTATTTAATTTAATAAACAGTATTTAATTTAATGCTTCTCTTATTTAATTTTATTTTTATTTTACTTTATTCTAATTTTTTATTTCAAGTTATTTCATTTTATTTTTATTATTTTATTTTAATTTTCACTATTATTTTTTAATTTTGTTATATTATATTTCATTCCTCTGTTTTATTTTACTTTACTTTATTTTAATTTTTTTTCCATTATTTAATTTTAAGTTTCGTCAAATTTTTATTTTATTTAATTTTACTTTTTAATTTTGTCTAGTTTAATTTAAATTCGTTATTGGTTATTTTTTCATTTATTTTACTTTTTACTTTTATTTTATTTATTTTTTATCTAAATTAATTATTATTTTATTTAATTTTATATTTATTATTTTTATATTCTATTATTATATTTTATTAAAATTTAATTACATTTTCCTTGTTACTCACTTTATTTTAGTTTATTTAATTTTTTAATGTATTATATTTTTTCTTTTACTTCTATTATTTATTTTGTTTCTTTTCAGTTTATTTTAAATTATTTTGTGATATTTTATTCAACATTATTTTATATATTAATTTTAATTTTATTTTTTATCTTATATAAAATTTCAATATTATTTTATTTAATTTTAGCTTTTTATTTGATTTTAATTTGTCTTAAATTTTTCTAATTATTCTTTTATTAAAATTTTCTATTTTACTTAATTAAATTTTAAATATTTTTTTACTTGATTTTATTTCATATATTATTTTATTGTATTTTGTTTTATGTTATCTTATTTTATTTTATTTTAATTTGTTTTATTATATATTATTCTATTCTATTTTATTTATTATTTTATTGTGTTTTCTTTTATTTTACTTTATTTTATTTTAGTCTGTTTATTTTATTTTATTTTACTTAAATTTATTATTGATTTTGTTTTAGTTTTTTTTTTAATTATTTTATGTTAATATGTAAAATATCTTAACATTACTTTATTTAATTTAATTTTATTTAATTTTTTTTATTTTGATTGTTTAATCAGAAATTATTATTTTATATTATTTTTTTGCATCTTATTATTTTAATTCTAATTTTTTTTTAATTTCTTTTTATTTTGTTTCATTTTATTTTCGTTATTTGATTTTGCTTTATTTTATTTTATTTTATTTTACTTTATTTGATTTCAATATATTTTATTTAATTTTAGTTTATTTCAAACCATTTTATGGTATTTTATTTGTCATTATTTTTTTATTTTATTTTGTTTCATTTTATTTTACTTTATTTTACTTTGTTTTTTTTTTAGTTTGTTTATTTTATTTTACATTACTTAAATTTATTTTTTATTTTGTTTTAGTTTTTTTTTAATTACTTTATGTAAGTATGCAAATTGTAAAATATCTTAATATTGCTTTATTTAATTTAATTTTATGTTTTTTCATTTTTTGATTTTGATTGCTTAATCTTAAATTATTTTTTTATATTATTTTTTTGCATCTTTTTATTTTAATTTTATTTTTTTTAATTTCTTTCTTTTTTTTCATTTTATTTTCGTTTTTTGATTTTGCTTCTTTTTTTTATTTTACTTTATTTGATTTTAATATAATTTATTTAATTTTAGTTTATTTCAAACCATTTTATGGTATTTATTTTATTTTGTTTCATTTTATTTTACTTTATTTTAATTTGTTATATTTTACTTTATTTTATTTAATTTTAGTTAATTTTAAATTATATTAATGGTATTTTATTTGACAATATTTTATTTTATTTTATTTCATTTCTCATATTATTTTATTATTTTATTTTTTTATTTTATAGTATTTTATTTGATTTTACACAATTTTATTTTTTTATTCTTTATATTAATTTTTATTTCTTTTTCCATATTTTCTTTTAGCTAATTTTTCTTTATTACTCATGCTCTACTTGTTTTATTTTTCAATTTTTATTTAGATATGGCATCAGAATAAATCCTTTAGATTGGTATTACTTTTTAAGTGGCACAAGTGAAGGACATGAAGGGCATGCCTCACTTCTGTTGATTTTATGTAAGTATTATGGTTTTTTTTGCGGTATGTGGGTATTTCAAGCTCTCTTCTCAATCTCACCTAACCTTAGATCATAGCAAATGCAAGTTGATAGTTCCAAGACCTGACATGTTTATTGTTTATTTTAATTTAATATCAACAAGTATGAATTTGATTACTTATAAAAATTCCTTTGGAAAACAATTTCAATTTTCAGACTCCTTTGTGCACATTTCGATCTGTCTTTTTGTGGAAAAGGGTCTTGCAATGGTGAGTAAGCATTTTTTCTTCTTTATGAATATTACGTACGTGTATTTAATCTTAGAGTATGAAGTCTGGGGTAAAGTGTAACGAGATAAGCTTAGCTTGTAAAATGTGTTTTCTTATTGTGAAATTACTATGCATATGAGCACGTACAAACATACATAAGTCACAAGTAAATTATTGAGTTCCCAATGAGAAAGAGACAAACCAAATTTTATTATTTCACTTAGGTATCGAAAGCCAGATGAGACTACTCGATTAACTTTAGCTATGTGATCGACTAGTATCGAGTATTGAGCTGCGCTAAGAGAAACTTTGAAATTTATTATAACAAACTTCTGATAATAACAGAAAAGTAGGAATCGGTCAAAACGTGCAAAGTGAAATTTTAATTCGAAGAGCAAGCCACAAAAGTAAGGTTCTTCTCTGCCCATTGATGTCAGCTTGCAACTCAATGATTTCTACACTGTTTACCAAACGGGGATTGTGGGGATCAGTGATTGTGCCAAATGCTTAAGCTTTCTAATAGGGAAGTCTGGCAATTAAGGCAATTAAATGTGTCAAAACAAAATCAAAATGTTTAACAACAGTCAAATGGTGCAATTAACAGACTATTAAAGAGACGGATTAGCTGACCTCGTTGGCGCTGTTGACTAATCTATCGACATCAACTTCCTCTACCTGCGTAGATTGTAAACAGTCCAAGCAGTCACTTACATTAGTATGCTCGAAGATATACTGATCGGCCATCTAACCCACAGATTTCATCCTCCAAAACTGGATAAGATATAATCGGCTGTGTTCAGAACATGACGGAAAGCTAGAACAAGTGCCCGGAATTCAATTGGCTGAGACGTCATATCTTTACAATGCGCTATCCTTACGGAGATGAGCCCTCATAGGGCGAAGAGAGCAAAGCAGCTCATAAAATCGTACGAACTCAACACACTCGTTCATGCAACCAACCAAATCGTAACACTTTTACCTATTGAGGTGTTCTTGCAGAAGTACCCTTCATACGAAAGTTCGATATTAGCAACCGGTAGCAAAATTAAAAGTTTAGAGAGTAGAGCGCTTGGACTTACCTCTACCATTTTGCATGCACGATAAGTGGCGTATTGAAAAAAATCTTGTCCGTTGGAGATTGGGTAACCAAAATTTATGCATTCTTTAGTATTTTTTTATCTTTTATTGTTTACACTTGCATTGATAATCGTGTTTGGGAAATTTTATTTAATTTTAAATTTTATGCAAAAGTTTTTTAATTTTTTTCCTTTTTATGCAAACGGAAATTTCGATATTATTTGTTATTCAAATTTGGTTGAAGACCTTTTTTTTTTTTTGGTGAATAAATAAAAACTTAATGTAGCCCAACTGACAGAAGGAATCAAAAAAAAAAATGAAATAAAATTCAATGGATTTGGTTTTTTTTTTTTTGAGCAATTTAGTGGCAAGCGCAAGAGGAATTTCGCGGCCATGTCGATAACATGGCAAGGCTTACAACGGTTCTTGCTTTCACCATTTAGCGCCAATTGGAGATTCGAAGTGCTGTCATTTACTTATTTTAACTGATATATTCAACAGAGTTGAACTCTTCGTCAGCTTCTGGCTCCACTGGCGGTAGATACATGGAATACTTTCAAAGCTACAGAGTTCTTATTCATCGGGACAACATGACTTAGTCAGTGTAGCCACTACCTCATCACTGAACCGTTGTTAATGCAAAAAGTACCAAAAATCCTCCGCAAAACTTTTCTCATCTCTTAACGCCAACTCATAACATGTCGAAATGATGATGGACTTCTTGAATTCCGTCGTTGTTCCTCGAGAAGGGACTTGCCTTCAGTCAGTTCAAAGTAGCTTCTGTCGGCAAGAAAGATTCGGCGTTAGATTTCAAGGCTGACATTGTTGTTGGAGATATTATCTACACCTTCAAAGTTTCGTTCCAAAATATCAGACATCCTAAGAGGCAACTGGAACCCTTTTTTCGTAATTCCGAGGTACCGAGCTTTCGCCGCATGTATTTTTCAAACAGGACGAGGGCCAATTTCCAAGTATAAAGCGATTCTGATAAGCTCATATCAGTTCGTCGAAAGTGAGGTGCAGTCTATCCTCTGTCGGCCAAAGCTGTTTGTACTCGTATATTTCAGTATCTGTCATATTTTCTCCTACAAATGCTATGCATTTCCCTTTCAACTCTATGTATCTCTACTACACAGCGTTCGGCCTATTGGTATATATTTATTGTTTCATCAGTCAACTAAGCTCGACCAAGGGCATGAGTAACTAGTATATGTTGTCGAAGTCATCTAACGGAAGGCTCACGAAACGAGCTGTTTCGAAGGGTGCGAACCAAGAACATAAGCAGTCCTCTCTCTGCTACTCGGTGAGAGCCTCAATGCTACCATCTCTGCTCAAATATGGATGTATAACTTGCCTGCGGCTTATGTATAGTACACCTAGAACGTGGAAGACAACTATTCAGTCTCTTGCAACATGGTAAATTTGGTTACGAGAGTTTAGATCCGAAATCAAACTTTGATGACTTATTAGCACCTTTGAAGACGCCCAGCCTCAGGTGTTTTTTTAATGGAGGTGATTTGTATATAAATGCTTATACACACGTCTTCGGCAACGTGTTTCTCTCCTTGGACTTAGAGGAGCATAAGTCTGACGATGGATATCAAACTTATGCTCTTTATGTGATAGCCGGCGTATACATCACACTTACTAACCTTGTTAGTGATGTAGTAGCGTCCATTCAAAGACCTTCCATCTTCCGTTCTTGTGGGGAACTCTGTAAGACAGTAGAGATCAGTGAATGGTCCACCAAAGTGGTTAAAGGTGCTGAAATCACTGCCTTAGAGGCTGGGGATATGCTTAAGCACTCACAGCATGGGACCACGTAACGCGTGGACCATTTGTGTCTTAGGGCCTGAGCAGACCTCAAGATGACTCCAGCCATTGCACTGGTTGCATCGAACCGAAATGGAGGAGTAATGGATTCTTTTGTGGCAAATGCAGAATAAATAATCCAGGGACGGATTTGTAGCAGTCCATTTTAGACTATTGTTACCGGTTGACCTTAACCGGGTTAGATCACGGCAAGGGTAACGGCATTTGGCCGGATCAAATCCGACTCCACTCTGGTGCGTAGAATCGGCTGTCATGTCACTGCAAGACAATTACGAATACAACCGGCAAAATCCTCAGTCAACACCTTCAAAATCTCTCTACCTGTGAAATGCGTCTTCGGAGTCAAACCACCACACATAGCAAATGAAAAGCTGCCTCGAACCCTAAAACCGACACATCTAACCCGCCTCTTCCTTTGGTCCGAACCCATCGATATAGCTCGTTTCCTGGACCTCCCGTTAGAAAACCTCGGTGACTTAGACAAACTAGCCTGTTCCTAAGCGAGGTTGGAAAAGCCGCTATAACACCAAAAACCAATCTCATTGGATTTATAACACAAACTAAATGGTTGAGAAGAAGGAGATATCAAAACGGGTCCCAACAAACTTAATTACACTCGATCAAGGGTTTCGTGATTGAGTAATCTGAGTAACTAATTTCGTCCCAAACAGATAACCTACAAAAATCCACAAAGTGATCGTCATTTCACTTCGGACATCTGGAAAAATTGGTTTAAATTAAAACTAAAAATCTTTTTTCTACTATTTATTTTTAAAGTTTTGAACAAAATTATTACAATAAAATAGAGATAATGTATGATAATTAAACGACGACACTGGAACAATGAAAATTATAACGGTAAATGCACAAGTCTGCGTTTTACACGCCAAAGACAAATACGCGCGTGTGTGTTTGGAAGTGTGCGTTTGAGTATGTGTGATATTAAAAAAAAAAAGGTTAATGGTTTCGAACTGCCTTTTGTTAAGCCAAATCTACTGCTTAACTTTATTTATTATTCTTATTAGTATTTATAACAAATTGACGCCCCTAAGCTATGCGTACGCCCGCTTGATCGCAGTACTTCTGCAGGGCCTGCTTGTGATTATCGCCAAGTATAGCGACCAATGTGGGCAGTTCACCCGGTCGCGTTTGTGCCAATTTGCCCAAGGATTCGGCCAAATATTTGCGTCCGTCTGAGATATCGGCAAGGAAATCTTGTGATTTCGGTTGGGCATAGCTTAGTTGTGAGAAAGCCGCCTGATAGCCGGGTGCATCATCAACCTCAATGAAATGATCGCCGTCCAGCGTTGTTTGATCTGGTGGCAGCTCGAAAAGCTCGACCAATGCTTGTAGCAAACGTGACCAGCGTTCCAAATAGGGTGGCGCAAGCATTGCCGGACACTCTGTGAGTATTTTCGCTATGCCGACAGCAACGATTTTACGATCCATCTCGGACGAGACCTTAGCCATGTCCGGTATGAAGACGCGATCTACAACCATGCCAAACATATTAGCCTGTATTTGATCGATTAATTCCACCAAAGGTGTGGCACCCATTTTAGCCGTATAATAGCAGAGGAATACTATTATGCCACGTACATATTTCGTTGTCTTCGAGAGTGATAGACGCTGGAAGAGCAAAGCGAATATCTGACGCATATTGGGTTGCAATTCAGCGTTGGGATAGTAGGCAAGTAGATTTTGCATGAGATAGAAACCCTCATGATCATTCGATTTGGATGCGATCATCTTTTGGAAAATGCCCAAAACAGCATTCTGAAAATAAAGGAATTTAGTACTAGTTATGAGTGTTTTTTTTTTTTTTTAACCAACCAATTTGCCCAAAGCGCCTATCTGCGCAGATCCTTGCCTGATAAATGCAGTTATAAGCCGAATAAGTGGCGTAACATTGCCGGGACGATCCCACAAAGCGGGCACCAGCAAGCAAGGGAAGAGCGCCCAGTAAGGTTCAGGTATGGAGCCACTACCCTCACGTATTTCCAAAAGCAATGAGAGCATTTGGAAAACATAAGGCATGAATTCCAAAATATCCTGCTGTAATATGCCTTGGAATACGGGGAATAAGGCTTCCTCGAAGGAGCTAACAGCTGCAGGTTCGGTTTTGCAAACGATTCTGTTGAATATGAGAGAACATTTGTAGAAAAAAAATTAGGTAACTCGCTCTCCTTAGTACTTACTTCACGGCCAATGAGAGCGTTTCAAAGAGATAATGATTAAAGTGCGGACGCGATGGATTTTTCGCAACCAAAGTCAGAATTTCGGTCAAACGCGGCAAAGCTACAGCCATATAAGGCATGGCCGCCTCTTGTAATGTCGAAAAACTGCGCATGATAGCTATAAAATTAAGAGTACTTTTAACAAATCAGTAGACTACTTAAGTATGCACACAAACCTTTCATCACATATTCATTTTCACTGGAACCGGGCAAGGCCAATGTGCCAAAAAGACCACCCAGCAAATCATTGATGAATGGCGTCAGATGCTGTGCCGTAATCACCAATTGTTGGTTGCTATCACGCATTACCAATATCTTCTCGATAGCGCAAGCGGCATAACTGTGCACTACAACGCTTTCTGCCGGCAGATGACGTATTAAATGTGGAATGCATGCGAGTAGAGTTTGAGGACCCAATAGACTACGGAAAACCATAACAAATTTGATGGCTGCAGACTTCAACACAGGCAACTCATTAACTATTAAGTGCACAAATTTTAAGTTTATTAAATTAAGAAAAAAATAAAAAAAAAGTACAAAAAAAACTCACTATTCGGACGCTCCAACTCGGGCACAATGTGTTGCGCACAAAATTGTGGTAAGGGCACTAATTCTGAAACGTGTGTTATGCCATGTTTCTGTGTGCCGCCGCGTGATGCCAACGAGGTGACCAGATAAACAGCTGTGTCTTTGGCACGCCAATTTGCGGCGGGATTTTCCTTATACTTGGCCAATAATATTTCCAAATATTGGCCAAAAATGGCAAATATTTTCGCTTCAAAATTCTGACTCAAAGTTTTGACAAGATCACAGGCTGCACGCCGGCGAGTATCAATGTCAGAACCCTCAATATCGCGGCGAATATACTCCTCTGGGCTGTCCTCGAATAATTCCTCATCCGATTGACGAAAGTCCAAATTCGGTATGACTACCTTTTCACAAATATTTGCAAGTATTTCGGGATTTTCAAATATCTTCCTATAATGATTGCGTTCAGCCACAACTGAGAGGAATTGCAAAGCATTTGAAACAAGCTAAAAGAATATTTATATATATTTATATATATATTATGGTACGTAAGCTCTAATAAAGTAATAATTCAAATACTTACGGAATCGTATTTCGTCTGAATTCCAGTCTTCACAAGCAATTCCCACACCGCAGTAACGAATGTTTGCATATACGTACCGAACTCTTCGTCGTATTTCTGCGCATACAAACCAATATTCTCGCAAATTTGTGAACGTAAATGTTCCAAAACACCGGCATCTTCATCCTCACCCGTGCGCAAGCAGGGCACATCGGCAGTCAGTAAATCATTGAATGCCGTCATCCAAACGGACATGTTATCTTCAAAGAACTCGGGCAAATCTTGCGAATTCAATGAGAAAAACACTTTACATACCAACACCAAAGATCCATAAATAACCTTCAACGCTTCGGTGTTGTTTTCATGTACTTTAGCCAATTGTATGGTGTTTATCAATAAATCAGTCAACGGCTTAGCCATGCGGTCCAATACCAATTTGATTTCTTCCCATAAACTTTGTGATTTAAATTCATAACGATAACGTTTGAAGAGTGAATGCGCTGTTTGTAGCACACCATTAATCACATTAAAATCGCCTGTGGCGAACTTCTCCACCATTTCATCGATAAGTTGTGGCCACTTCTTTGGGAAATCATGTTTGCCGATTATGCTTACGGCATCACTAAGTTGTTTTTGTATTGCTGAAGGTGAACGTAACATAAGCGTAACAATAAGCGCTTTAATTGTATTGCGATCATCTTGATGTATTTTATCTGGTCCATCTGTATCCTATTGAAATAATAGAATAACATTGTAATTAGACAAAAGGCCCGTGCTAATAGTCTAACACAACTCACTTCATGTGCTGCCCAATTACGTTTGATGTAGTTCTTAAAAGCAATGGCGCCAGCAACGCGTATTGTCATGTCCATATCTTGCTTGTCGATGAGATTTAATAAAAGTACTGGATAATTACGGTGCATCTCAATTGATTCCAATGATTTTTCAACTGTGAGGAAAAGTAGAAGCACACAATTCAAAATAAATACATTATTATAAAGTAAAAATTATTTCTGCATACCTGGTTTTCTCACATTGGGATCAGGGCTGAGCGTTAGCTCCAAATAGCCGGCCAATGATTGCAAATTCGTCTCGTTAATTTCCATATTTACACGTTAAATTTACTTTAGTCTAGTCTATAATTTTCTCTTAATAATTAAATAATTATATTTATAAATTATTTAGTTTATTTTATTAATTTACACACACAATTGGAAAATTTATTCGAATGGCGAAATTTGCAGAATCACACAATTATATATGAGCCAATCAGCAGCAAACGAATGAGCAGAAGTGTGCGAAACGCGCGATAAATGTGAAATGAAAACCGTTGCTTTTGTCATTTTACTTTGCACGCTTATTCGTCTTTGTGTGTGACATGTGTGACCGCGTATGAACTTGGCTGCAGTTTATTCATTAGGGTGTTTATGTAAGACGGTACCCCGAGTTAGTTATAAACGGTACAAACTGAAAACAATTTTTGAAAAAATAAATAACGAAAAAAGTATGTTTATATAAATCTGAAATTAAAAAGAAAAAAAATTATTGCATGGCATATAGGGCAGAAGTGATATTATCACGTTATTTATGCTTCTTTAAACGCAGTTTTTTTTGTTAGTTTACCGGAAGTATTGTTTCAGATCACCTATATGTTTGAAACTTGCAGGCTTTAAGTGCTAAATTTAAAAAAAAATGTCATTATTAATTCATGAAAAATATTTGCTCTCTTCTCTTAGGAAATCCTCTCAGAAGCTTTAGGAATGTTTGTGCAAGTACTCAATATACTTTTGGTAATTTTCTTGCCCGTGGTCATCATACACCTCAAAGGCGAAGCGTTCAGTTTAAGTAATGGATAAAACATAAATCATCTTTTCTGATTTTCAAACTAAGAAAATAAATTTGTTTTTCAGTGGGCGCTTCTACAGTTTGTTTGGTTTATTCCATACTCTTTTTGAAACTTTGGAGCTATGTACAAACGAATATGTGGTGCCGTCAGACCTACTATCTGAAACAGTACAATCCACGCGAGAGAAGACCGAGTATAACGGTAGCGGAGTTGCGTAAGTTTTCAAACTCGTCTTCTAAGTTCCTTATGCTGTAATTTCCTAATTAATAACTTTATAGAAAACGGTTTTTTGGGCGATGAAATCGATGAGGATATACCCAAGCTGGTTCAGTACCCTGACAATTTATGTTATAAAGATTTATTCTACTTTTTACTTGCACCCACACTGTGCTATGAACTTAACTTCCCCAGAACGACGCGTGTGCGTAAGCGTTTCCTATTGAAACGTCTACTAGAGGTACTTTTTGGATTCAATGTTATTATGTCTCTATTTCAACAATGGATCATACCATCGGTACGAAACTCGCTTATACCATTCTCGAATATGGAAATTGGTTTGGCCACTGAAAGGCTACTTAAATTGGCGGTAAGCAAAAGTGATTTTGAAAGCATTTGATTGAGTAACTAATAAATATTGCAACTTTCTTTGGCCACAGTTACCTAATCACTTGGTATGGTTATGTGGTTTCTACTTACTCTTCCACTCTTTCTTAAATGCCGTGGGCGAACTGGTACATTTTGCTGATCGCAATTTCTATAGCGATTGGTGGAATGCGAATAATATTGATACGTTTTGGCGTACATGGAATATGCCGGTGCATAGGTAATATCGAGCGCTAAGTTATAATTTGAAAAAGTTTTTTCAAACACTTTATGTTAAAATTTTAGATGGTGTGTGCGACATTTATACGTGCCCGTGGTGAAGATGGGCTATTCACCAGCTCAGGCGTCGACGATTGTTTTCCTTATAAGCGCATTCTTCCATGAATATTTAGTGAGTATTTGAAAGTACAAGAATTTTTTGTATGGATATTTTCAATATGACTTAATTCTCTTTTCATTTCAGGTATCAATTCCATTGCAAACGCACAAAATATGGGCTTTCCTCGGCATGATGGGCCAAATACCATTATCGGCGGTATCGAAATCAATTGAACGCAAAATGGGTCCACGTATGGGTAATATTATTGTGTGGGCATCAATAATATTGGGTCAGCCGCTATGTATAATGATGTATTACCACGACTATGTTGTGACGCATTATCATGACGCTTTAAATAGTACTGTGTATAATGAAGGCTAATTCAAAAATTTTTATAAAATTTTTTTTATACATACATATATATTCTTACGGAAAGCTAGTAGAAACGAGTACTTAGAATGCAAGACAGATGAACTTTTGTATGTAATGAATGCGCAAGTGAAAGACAGAAAGATAGACAATGCCTTTTTAAGGCAAGATGGGAAACTTGAGCGATAAATTATAATAATTTGCAATTTTTTATATATGCATATATTACATAATATTTTAAGCTGTTTTTTATACCGTAAAAATATATATACATATGTATTTGCTATTGAACAAAGAATATATAGGGATATGAGCAACGACTTTGAAGTAACATTTTTCCCGTTACTTGTGAGACTATTATAGACATAAAATGAATTGTTTTGCATTTAAAGTAGATTTTTTCATTGTTAAGCCAAAATGCATGCCTTAATAATTAATAATAACTACATAAATAAATAATAGTTGTATTAAGTTTTGTAAATAAAAGCGATTAAAAAAAAATAAAATAATAAAGAAAACTGAATAAACATGTCTACATATTTACTTACTTATATTTATGGCTATGCCTAATGAAAACACAGGCAGTACTCTCCTTTGGAACCCGAAAAAGGCGTTTTATAAGCATTTTTATCATTTTTTTTTTAAGGGATTGTGGTAATAATATTTTCAGACAATAATTTACTATATTACCAAAGAAGTTGGATAATTCCAAAGTTTTTCGAAGCTTAAACAAAATTCATTTCGACTTGCAAAAAAATTATGTCAAACCTTTTTAGTTTTATAATTTTTTTTGAAGCCTCTTATAGCAGACTACTGCTTTCTCCGAAACATTTCAGCCTACAAATTTTAAATTTTTCGAATATTCGTTCCACTTATTAATTTGAGAAACTCAATTTGCTCGTATTCTCTTCCACGATTCATTTCCGAAAAATCATTTTCGGTATAAGGTTATGGACCAGTTTTAGCGACGCATTGTCATCATCATCTTCCATAAGTGTTAAAAATACAAAACTTCATTGTAGGTTTTAAGAAATTGATTATAAATAATGTAGGCATTTGTTTTTTGGCAGAAAATTTTCATTTTCGGTACTACTATTTACTGCAATCAAAGTACTGTCGGCAACTCTGTTCACTCATGTCACTCAATCGGCGTCTTTTATGTTTCGCACTTTCATTAATCGGTCCGTTTGGGCGATTTCCCGACATCCGCGGTACATCAACTAATTTATCCGGTTATTGTTAAATTTTATTATTTTTTCGCCACCACTTTATAAAAGTTTCATGAAAAAGTGAAGTTTAAAACATTAAAAACTGAAGTCGCCGATAGCTTTACGCTAAAATTGTGTTTCTACTGTTCTAAAGGTGTGTTTATAGCAAGAAAATTCGCTGCTGGCGGTTACGGCGACGTCAGCGTAGTGTGCTGCTGCTTATTCTTTGCACTCTCCTTTTTTATCATTTTTCCGCATATTATGGTGAAGCAAAATACATATGTTGAGCGAGTGGTTACGAAGGGGCTACGTTTCTAGCTCTAACTGATATTTAGTTGTTCCCCATGTGATTGGGCATTAGAAATAGTGTATATATTTGGTTTGTTTCTTAACTTTGTGTTAAAAGAAGATGCTTTTGATTTCCAGGAGCCTGTGGCGTAATCAGCGAATCTTTCCATTAAGCAGATTTAGCGCACTAGAGACATTAGCAGCAAAGCCGACTGCGCTCGTGCAAGTAGCAGACACACAAGCAACAAACGTAGCAGCACCGGTAAATCACGTAAGTAGTGCTGTTTGATGGCGGTTATATGTTTGGGGCTGGAATAAAAGAAATTTGGTTTCATCTTTGATATAACAACTTCTTTGCCGACAGGTAATGGGTGGTCGTAATAGACTCAGTGGTGGAAGTAGCGGACGTTACAGCAGCGGCAGTAGTGGCGGTTATAGTGGAAGCAACGGTGGTGGTGGCTATGGCGGTGGCAGCGGCTATGGTGGTGGAAGTTATGGCAATGGCCGTAGCGGCGGGTATAACAATAATGTAGGTTATGGTAGTGGCAGTGGTGGCTACAATGGCAACTATCGCGGTAATTTCAACGATTATTGTGGCTCCAATGACATTAATCCATTTAATGGTAAATCAATTGTTATATGATTTCTTTTAATTTAAACTTAACTTAACTTTTTATATATTACAGGGCCAGGTGGAAATGATTTAATGCAACTGATGAGCGCAATGGCGAGCAATTTTAATATGAATCCGCCACCACCACCGCCACCAATGCGTATGACTTGCGGTGAGCTGCGGGCAAATCATGCCGGTATGCTGGTCGAATTGACTGGACGACTTATCAAAAAAAGGGTAACACGTTTTGTAGAGTTACGTGACCGCAATGGCGGTGCATCACAGTTGGTTATATTGGAAGATAAGGTAGTTTATAGGCGTGCTTGTTGTATATATCGCATTGTATTAAAGGGATAACTTATTATTTATTTACATCTGCAGCATCCACGTGTAGCACGTCGCATGCAAAATATGCCCGATAATTCCACGCTGACCATAATAGGTACCGTTAATCGGCGTCCACCGAATTCATGTAACCAAACTATGCCCACAGGTGACATTGAAGTCGAAGTGCAGCAGATTACAAATATCGATTTGCCTACCGGTGGCAAGGGTATGGGTAATAAGCGCACCTATAGTACAATGGCAAAACAGCATATGTGTGGCATCACCAGTACTGAATACAAAATAGCAAGTAAGTGAAAACAATGAACTTGTTATTTATTAATTTATTATGTGTATATAAAATAATAATTTTTTTATCTTCAGAGAGCGATAACGTATTAAAGTACTTTGAGAATCGTGACCTCACATGTAACGATTTGCGTCGTGAAGACATTGGTAGGACAGTAACGCTGGTCGGTTGGATACCACAAACAAAAACCAGCAAATTCTTGCAGTTAAAAGATGGTTACGGACAAACACAGATTATCGTTGAAGATCAAGCGGTAGGAGGCATTCAAAAGTTATCCCTTATCATTCTTATATAACTTATTTGGTTCTTTTCTCTCTCACAGATGCAAGACACATGCATAACCGCACCGGAAGGTACCGTAGTACAAGTTAGCGGCAAAGTTTTGGGCAGACCACGTGCCAGTATTAATTTTGTAAATATACTGAGTCTATCTACATATAAGATCTTTTTGTTAACAAATATTTATTCTCATTTCAGAAATACGACACTGGCGAGGTAGAATTAATTGTTGAATCCATTAAGGTATTGAACCCCGATGATCCCTATGATGGACCTATTAAAAACAAAGAAAAAGTGCAAAAAATGTCAATTGATGACGATGAAGAAGATACTAAAAATGGCAATGCTGCAGATGGTCAAGCAGCTAGTAGTGAGAAAAATAAAAAAATAGCCGATTTAAATAAATTTGCTGGACGTACACATACTTGTGGTGAATTGAGCGTAGATAATATAAATGAGAAAGTAACAATTTGTGGTTGGTTGGAATTTCAACGTATGGGCAAATTTATTATACTACGCGATGCCTATGGGCAAACGCAAGTGCTAATCTCAAACAAAGCTAAAAGTATGGAAAAGTATTCGGATGGGTTTTCACTTGAGTCAATTATACGTGTTGAAGGTACGGTAATACCGCGTCCGGCTGCCACTATAAATCCCAACATGGAGACCGGTCAAATAGAAGTCGAAGCTGAGAGTATTGAAGTGCTCAATCCAGCTAAGAAAAATCTGCCATTCGAGGTGCGACGTTATAATCGTGCTGGTGAACGTTTGCGTTTAACCCATCGTTATCTCGATTTGAGGTGAGTTACAAGAGACAAGCTATCCCCAAGGGTTCTGACGAGAATGGGAAAAGTATAAAGACACTTACCAATTAGTGTATTTAAGGGGGGCAACCAAAACATTGAAAGGTGTTGGAAAGTCTTGAATTTCGGTGAATGATACAGAATTAGGCAGACGTTGCAGTTAAATTCGTAGGCTTACATAAATTAAAAACATTTTTAAAACTTATACTACACCACCCTAGTTAGACTCATGTGATCTTGACATACCGTTCTGGTCTGAAAAGGAGAAGTAAAAGATTTCGATTACTTACAACATTTCATTACTAACTCCAGACAATCTTCTTGAACTTCTTAATTAGTTGCTATTGGATAAAATACATATGCATTTTTCAATATCAATCAATGTTTCATAACAATTTTCCATCTCCACACCCACCAGATTCGCTGACATGCAACATAATCTACGCATGCGGTCCGCCACTATAATGCGTATGCGTGAATATCTCATAAATTATTTGGGTTTCGTTGAAGTGGAGACACCAACGCTATTCCGACGCACACCAGGTGGCGCACAGGAGTTTGTGGTGCCTACACGTAAGGCGGGACACTTTTATTCGCTTGTACAGAGTCCACAACAGTTCAAACAAATGTTAATGGCTGGTGCAATCGATCGTTATTTCCAAGTGGCACGCTGTTATCGTGATGAGGCGACACGACCAGATCGTCAGCCAGAGTTTACCCAACTCGATATTGAATTGTCATTCACCACACGTGAGGATATCATGCATTTGGTAGAGGAATTGTTGCGTTACTCATGGCCGAAGCCGTTTACACCGCAAACGCCCTTCCGACGCATTACCTACGAGGAGGCGATGGAGAAGTATGGCACAGATAAGCCAGATACACGTTTCGGATTTGTTGTGAGTATTGAAATGTGGTTTATTGGTGAGACATTTATTGAAGAAATTTTCACGAAAATTGTATTTTTTTTTTTTTTCTTATACCAAAAACCACAGTTAAGCAATGTTACGGACATAATTGAAAATAATGAGGAATTCGCTGGCAAATACAAAGACCTGGCAGCCTATGCTATTGTTGTACGTGGCACCGAGGCGATTTGGAATGGCACAGCACGCAAGCATTATGAGAGTCTTGGCAAAGAATTCACCGGCACTTTGTTTGTGCGCAAATTTTTGGTAAGTTTCAAAAGCCAAACCCATTTTGCTTTTTTGCTTTTAATGATAATTAATATTTTATCTTTTTGCCCAAAGCAATACAAAGACGTGCTTGAACGTTTAACAAAACTTCTAAACAACGATGTGGCCACCGAGCTAATTGAAAAATTCGATTTAGAGGAGAATGATTTGATTTTCCTTGGCATAGGCGAAAAACGCGCTACAGTAAGTTCTGTCCATTGATTTGAATAATTTTCACTCTTCACTCTTCTACTAACCCACATTTTATTTTACTTTCAACACACAGCAAACCATAATGGGTCGCATACGTCTCGACTATTACAATTTCATCTCTGAGAATATTAAGCGTGAGAAGAAGGAGAATAAATTTATTTGGGTGCTTGATTTCCCAATGTTTGAACGCAACCCGGACACAAATCAAATAGAGAGTGTACATCATCCATTCACCGCACCACATCCCGATGATATGGAGAAATTCATGAACGCCAAAGATGATGAATTAGTCAATGTACGCTCACAAGCTTACGATTTGGTATTGAATGGTCAAGAGATTGGTGGCGGTTCGATACGTATACATGATCGTGATATGCAATATTTCGTATTAGATCAAATTCTGAAAATTCCACATGAGCATTTGAATCACCTGTTGAACGCTCTAGAATCGGGTTGTCCACCACATGGTGGCATAGCACTCGGTTTGGATCGTTTAATTTCGCTAATTTGTCGTGCACGCTCTATGCGCGATGTTATTGCATTCCCGAAATCGTTAAATGGACGCGATCCGCTCTCGAATGCGCCCGTGCCGATTTCCGATGAAGAGAAGACGCTTTATCACATCGCCACACTAGAGGATACGAGTAAATCAACCGAGCATGCAATTGAGGATGAAGATCCGGATTTAGTGCGTGCCTCACCATCACCAGAGCCGCAAGTGAAGGAGGAGCCGACTGCTGTTAATGACGTCAACGATGTTGATGATGATATGAAACCGGTCGTGAAGCAATCCGCCGATACGACAACTGATGATGCGACCGCACCAACACCACCCACGCCAGCTGCAACTCCTGCTGTTGCTACCAGTCCAGTTGTAGCTACTAAAGCTGCTTTGAAAGCGACAACACCGGCTGCAAAAGTGGTAAAGCGAGAGGGTGTCGCCGCCACCACCACCACTACCGCGACCAAGAAAAAGTAAATTTACAGAATCCTTGCAACTAACTCATAAGCACTCACATAGTTTCGTAAATGGATGTGTTTCCTCAGCACGCAATATGTCGTTTTGCATAGTTTTATCTAAACATTATTTATCTATATACACATACATACGTCTTAATATACACAATATTATAGTATATATTGATTATTTACTAAAGAGAGATTAGTCAGTTGAAACCACATACATAAGTGTTTCACACCGGTATGCCATTACACGCATACAAACATTGTAAATCTCTTAGGAATTTTAACTTATTGTGTGTGCTAGATTAAAATTAACGATTTATTTGACATATCTTTTTTTTTTAACTTTACAAATTGTAAACCAAACATTTCTGCATATACACACTCACACACACACACACATGCATACAAATGCATACAAACCAATGTGAAAGAACAAACAAAATGTTACAAATTTAATTGATTTATTGAGCAAAACAAAAAAAAAATTGTATAAAATAAGAAATGGACAACAATAATAAAGAATATTGAAAAATACACTAAAAAAACGCTGATTTTTTGATGTAAAACATCTATAGCTGCACGTAAAACCGATTTCGGGCGTGGCGACGCTATATGATGGTGGCATATATTATATATACAGTCCATATGCTGAAGCCCACCGTCAACAGACTGATTGTACCTTATCAGTGTGGCTTCAGACCTGGTAAGTCAACAAATCTTGGAAAAGACCCGTGAAAAGAGGATCGTCACCCACCACTTCTTCGTCGATTTTAAAGCCGCCTTCGACAGCACGAAAAGGAGCTGCCTTTACGCCGCTATGTCTGAATTTGGTATCCCCGCTGTGTAAGCTGACGCTGGACAACACCAGAAGCGCTAGAAGTGCAGTCAGAATTGGGAAGGACCTCCGGGGTCGTTTGGTACCAAACGAGGCATCAGACAGAGTGACTCTTTGTCATGTGATTTCCTCAATTTGATGCTGGAGAAAATAATAAGAGCTGCAGAGCTGAATAGAGAAGGTACAATCTTCTATTAGAGTGTACAACTACTGGCGTATGCAGATGATATTGACATTATCGACCACAACAACCGCGCCATTAGTTCTGTTTTCTCCAGGCTTGATAAAGAAGCGAAGCGAATGGGTTTGGTGGGAAACGAGGACAAGATGAAATATCTCCTCTCATCAAACAAACAGTCATAATCCTCCTTCACTCTTAAATTCGGTATCATCAAACTGGAGAAAATCCAGCTAACGATTACTCAAAATGTTTTGAAATGATGAACTCATTATCTATACTCAATGTCTACAGTACCTACCACTGTCATAAAGTTTTGCTTATTATTTTCCTAGGTTCTACTAGCCTTTGGCCTCACAGAGAAACAAGACTTTTAGCTTTCTTTGTCAATTTATTTCATTTAGCCGTGGCTGTCTACTCGACTTCTTCACACTCTCCTCTTCCCCTTCAATATGAGGTACTTTAAAAATACTTGTTTCTATATGGCCCTTGGTCAAATTTCGACGATACTCCTGCCAATATAGAGGCGCCTCGAGCACCTTTTCTTCATCCTCTGCACTTTGTTCCTCCACGGAATTGTTAATCTCGCCAGCAGGGTTGTTATCATTTATATCACCGGTTATGTCACTAGTCCCGACGCCACTAAAATACGTCCAATTCTCGCCGAGGGGATCTTGTGCGTATGGCGTCGGTTGATGTTCGATATGATTGAAATTCGTATCCAATTTATTCCATTGATCAATGTGTCGCAGTAAGGGATCCTGGAAACCGGTTGGTGGTGGTAAAGTTATTGTGATTGGTGAGCCTGTCGTAACGGGCTTTTGTTTACCCAATGTGGGTAAATCGGTCCATTTGCCCAAAGCATAGGGCGCTGTATCATTTGTCTCCGCTAGAAACATGCCCCTCGTGCTGGTTTTGATGTCCTCACCCGCTTCGAGTAGATAATTTGTCGGCGGACACATGCCGAATAAATAGGACATGTACGAACTACAAGCCCAACCCCAGAAACCTTTGCGCGAGCGTATGGATTCTTGAAAATATTCGACGGCACGTTGGTGACTGCAGCCAAAAGGGTCTGTGGGAAGAGATGAGTGCTTTAAAAATTCTTAATTTATTTGAATTATTTCAGCATCACTCACTTGTGCCTGGCTTATTGCAGCCGGGCTGCATAACACCGCCATTCATATAGAAATCAGCGTGTCCACAGCGCTCGATTTTGCCCTGCACAAAGGCGTTCGTGTGTATGACATCGACGAAGACAGCGTCGCTGGGATCCAATTTATCATTGACGCCGGCAGTGATGAAGAGCGGCATAGCGGGATCGAGACCTGTATGAGAAGAAAAAAATTGTAAACAAAGGCGCTTAATAGTTTTTGGAAGACAAATTTGAACTGTGCGGAATATTTCTGCACTACAAAGGTTGAGATTTCGGGATTCAAAGCTTCTAAGAGGAAAGAAAAAAGTAGAGCTAAAATTTTAGGCAAACAGCAAGTTTAGGAGTTGTCCGCACTGACTTTCAAAACTTCGGCTCAACATTTCAAAATCTGCTTCTTCTTATAGCAGCACAGCTGATTCAACATTCTCAGCCCCCTCATCAGGTAAAAGTCCATCAGAAGCTCGTGACACCTTTTCGATATCAGAGAGTAAAAAACCTACGCTGCCTTTCGGCCCTCGCTCGGCATGCAGTATTTTTTCGAACTCACCTGTTATTCTCGGCAACATAAATGAGCCCAAATTGCGCGCAACATAATTCGCGAGCTGTGCGCCCAACGAGAATCCTATGACATGTATATCGGTAGTGCCCATTTCCAAAATACGCTCCACAAGTTGAGCCACACAAGCGCCAACGTGTTTGGTATTATGTACGGCGCTCATATAGCATGGACCCGGCGACAAAATGGCCCAATCCACATAAATAATATTGTACTCATCACGCATTAAGTACTCTAGTGAGAGAGTGAGAGAGAAAAATAAAGAAAAGTTAATGGAAACAGCAAAACACAGATCATTCCAGCACAAAGAACCCGGCTCACCATGCCGCAGCCGCTGTAAAGAGCCCATAAACATATCCGCATTGTAGCCATGTATGATAATCTTCGTCTGATAACGCGGATTAAAATTCGAAATGGTCAAATTTGACTTGTCCATCGTTTCATCGATATGCAAGCACTGACGATCCACTGGATTTCGTCGCGTGTACAAATAGAAACGAATATCCGTGTCCGGGCATGTTCGTCCGATCACCCAACGACAAGGTCCAATGACGATATCGCGCGCATTAGGGGACGTTGTGGTGCTCGGCACTGATGTTGTTGTGGTTTCAGGAGCCGCTAGGGCGGCATTATTGTAAAATGACTTAGCTTGGCAGTTTGAGAGGGAGATTAGGACTGCAAAGAGAGGAAATTACTAGGAGTACAAGGGAAAAATGTCAGTTTGGCATTTTTACCTGAAATGCAAAAAGTTATGGCGGTGCTGGGTGCAGTGGTCCGGTATTTCCACGTCGTTAATTTGTACATTTTTATGCTAATCTACTTAGGCTTGTTTTACTATCACATTTGTTGCTTGAATCTTAAAGCTACTCTTTAACTACTACCTTTTTCAGCAAATACTATAAGGATCCAGCCATCTTTGCACGTTCTTTATCTTCTCCGATCGGTTGGGCTAAAAATGAAAGAGTAAAAACCCGTTAGTTTCAAAGCTGAATCGGTTTGTCCTCGAGTAGTGATCTAAAGTGTCTTCACTTTATCCACAATACGGTGGCTGTAAATACAGGAATGGAAGTTCGTTGGATTAACGTTAAAGGAGCCATCGATGGAGTACCTAACATATACTCTATGAAGACTCGCTGCGGCGCATTATTCTGAGTGTTAAGTTAAGCGAGATTACGTGGTTGGTTTCCAGCCCAAAGGTTCGTTCTACTATAATTTATGGGTACTTGAGTCTGATATTCCTAAATGTCTTGAATTCTTATCTTATAATTCTACGAATTAGTTGAGGAAGAACGAAGGAGAGAGCGTTTTCGCTTTATTGTCATAAGTACCAAATTTTTTACACCCCCTCGGCTTAACTGGTCTGGTCGATTATCAAATTTTCCACCGAAGATCGGCCGCTCGTCTTTGGTATTATACCCACATCTTCAGCGCAGTTTATTCGCCACAGATGCGGTGACTAACAATAATATTGTATAAGAATCCACACCGGATACAATATATTTAAGAAAGGGTAAGAAAAATTATCATCTCTTACGTAAAAAACTCACTATACAGTCTTACAAAACCCTTACATTCATAGATATTGATACCTGCTGCGCGAACTTTCATTAGGTACCAAAAATATGCGAGTTTGTGCACCCAAAAGCGAGCACTATAGAATCCCTCAAAGTCTGCACCAGCGGCACCAGTGTGAGCCAGTTTAAACCAGTACGTTCGCCTTTTATGTAGCTTGCCTTTTGTCGCCTTCAGTAATGCTCACAATCCCTGCACGGAGGACAGTGTTGCAGTCGTTGATTTTGAGGGAGGCCACAGAAGAACACTACTCTTGCACCTGCCTCACAATTAGAGCCATAAATATAGATATTGATCAACTATTATTGTTAGCCTTGCCTTCCGTCCAATCTAAACGAATATTTTTTTTCCATCAGAGAACTTCCTTGGGTCATACATCAGCGAAGGGAGTCCTAAATTACGCGTGATCTTGAAGATTCGATTTTATAAACTGAATCTGAATAGCACCAAAAGTTCCTTCGGAATCGGGAAGAGCTTCTTCGAGCCTTCCGGTACCAATATCCGATGAGACGCCAACAGGAAAGCAAGGATTTACGTAAGATTTATAGTTATCTGGGAGTTAAGAACGGCGAATACCGCAGCTGATGTACCGATGAGCTATACAAGAACCACAGCGACATTTACCGAATTAAGAGGCATCGGCTAGTAAAGCTAGGTTATGTCGTCCATATAGGCAAGATTACTCCAGCTTTGAATATTCTCGATACAGTATCCGCTGGTGAAAGCAGAGAGAGCAGATTAGGGAGAGGAAGATGTCCACTCCGTAGGTAAGCACAAGTCGATAAGTATCTGATTTGACTTGATATCTTCAAACTGCGAAGAGCATAAGCAACTGGTGCGCAAATATGGATTGGAATAACAGCATAAGCAGGGCCTACCGTAATTTAAAAGAGTAAGAATAAGACCTTTTATAAAATGTCGTCTGCTGGTCTCCAATAACTGCACTGAAGGGCGTCTCTGAAGAACGAGAGTGGTGACCTTTTCTATCTTTGGGTTAAAGTTGGATGCATAAAAAAGACAGCGAAATTAGTTCTTTATCATAAGACCTTATTTTCAAATGAAAGGCTTCTCCATACTAAACCGATGAGAGGTACTATGGGCTTGCTGGCATTGGGGGTTGGGGCTCGTCCCGCGACAGTCGCGTCTTTATATTTAAACTACTCGGATTTTTATCTGTTATCCGGTCAAGGACTGCAATACTTTCCGAAAACCAATTTGGGAAAGATTTTGTGGTTACAACAACAATACAAAATGCTTGCTATAAACTATGAAGTTCTTTGAAGTAGCTGTAACCCAAAAATTGGTTCCCTATGTAAGCTAAGTTTCAAGTCCACTACTACGGCTGACGGATATCTGTCCAAGCCAAATACATTTCGGGTATTGAAATTAGGTTTCAAAAAACGAAAAATTAATAAAAATATCCAAGCACAAATATCGCAAATTGTCTGTTTATTTATTCCGCACTTCTTTCTTATGCAATGCCTCGGTTAAAACGGAAGTTCAGCCAAAGAGTCGCAGTGAAATTTGTGTTCCCCGCTTCGGTAGGCAACGCACGCACGTATGTCAATGGTCAGCAGGTAAACGCGCTTTGGCGCGCTGCAGGTCTTTCTTTTTTGTTTTTGAGCTTCCACTCCGTTAAATGTCATAACTGTTACCAAAATGTGCGCGCATGCGTAAGAGAGAGTTTTTTCCGTTGGCTTGATTGACGCGTGATATGTAGCGTCGTACCTTTTTGAGTCAAACAGAAACAAAAAAAAAAAAAAAACATTATGAGAAGTGCAAGGCAGCAAAGTTCGGCTTTAAATGATACCGTAAATGCCTGGACGTGCTGGGTTTCTTGCGAAAAGACGCCAACGCTTGCAGGGTTTTGTATGTAAGCCATGAAAGTGACTTAGCAATGGTAGATTGCAGATCAGCTTTGGCAATTACATATGTAAAACACGTTGCAAATTGTTGTTAGTGCTTTAATGGAGGGCGGAAGAATTCAGCGATTGTTTGTTAAAAGTTAATTACGGTTTATTATTTGTCATTGTATCTGTAGGCTGTATTTGCGCTAATCTTGATTGAAACGTGACAGATCAGTAATCTCGCCGTGGCTTTCACTTTGGCTTGGTCTTTTCATTAGCTTTCTACAAAACTTCGAAGAGATAACGAAAGACTCGGAATGTGTGTCGCCTCTGCAAGCTTATGGATTGAAAACAGTAAAATAAGAGTGGGTAGCTGCGCGTTTAACTAAGTAGAACTCAGTTCCAAACTAGCTTCGATCTTAACTTTCAGTAATGAACCGCCGTTTGGGCGATTTAGTTAGAATGCATTCCAGTTAGTTAGTTTAGTTAGTTCAACAGGTTGCTTGACCACGGAACCCTGATCAAGCGCACTTAGATCTCCTGACTATGTCGGTGCGGTCAAGAAGATTCCTTTCACTTTTCCAAACGCTCAAACCACTTCGTGTGCTTAATGAAATTCAAGAGATGATGCCTACGGGTGTAAGCTCTGCAAGGGAATCGAGGCAGAACGAGAAAACGATAAAGGATCGCAGCTCCTCCGATTTCTCTGCATCTATGTCCTTGCAGCTGCGGCTGTTGTCATTTGAGAAGCCGTTCATCCTTCTACCATCCATGAATCCCCGTAAGACAGTGTCCTGTTATTACACCGGTTGTTACACTTATGGATGTTCGGTTAAGAAGGAGAAGAGACTTGGTTCTGTGTTACCTCGATTAATGACCAGATTTATCTTGTCACATTGCATGGTAATTCAAGGAAGCATGCAACGAGCCGAAGATCTCAGACCAGATCAAAACTTATGGAATTGTTTCTAAACGTTAACGGTACTCGGCAGGGAATGTTTATACCTCCAAGCTTCCAACATGAAAACGCCAATGACAATGAAAGTTTCCATCAGCCCTTTGGGAGTGCCTTAAAAACTATAGGTATCTCATTTTGCAGTATGAGGGGGCAAATAAGCCTTAATTTTGACGGAATCGAAATTGAGATGAATATATCATGAGTAAGATTCGGCAAACGAATTAGCGCAGATCAACAAAAAATTCTAACTTCGGTCGCCTTTCGGCAGGGACTGGTATCTCTCTCCGAATGTATTTCGGACATGAAATAAAAGCTTCTAATATAAATCCCTCAGCCATTCGTTGGCGGCTACGAATAAAATGGAAAAACATCACGCCGCACTTCAGGGATTTGAGTAGGAGGTCGACCGTAAGCCAGCTCTGCTGTATTCGTGCCATACGAAAGTGTTATCTGTATATTTATGCTGTTAAGCTTGGTGCTAAGCACTCTCTGTAAAGTTTGTAAGAAGAAACTCTATAGCGAGGTCTATTTCTCCCATTACAAGTGTACAGTCAGACAGTAGGAGCAGTTCGGGCTATGAAACTTCGATGTTTAAGCTTTCAGAATAGCTTAGGTGTGTCCGATCGGAAATCAACTTCTCCTTTCAACTCAGCGTCCCTTTCGCACTGTAATATTATCATCGAGAAATTTCGAGAGACTGAATCGGTTATATTACAGATATTTTGCTCGTCGCACCTCGTATATCGCTACTGACTACAAGTGAAAGTTTCGTCGAAACCCCGAATGTGTCTATTTCTCGACGTTCTCAAGAAGTGGGGGTTTCCTACAGCACAGTTTGGCATATTTTGCGATTGGATTTACACCAATATCCATATAAAGTCCAGCTCACACAAGAATTGAAGTCAGCTGACCATTCACAACGCCGAAAAAAGGTTGATTGGGTGCTTGAACAACAGGCAGTGGACGGCGATTTTTCAAACAATTTTTTTTTTCAGCGGCGAGGCACATTTCTCACTTGAGGGAAATGTAAATAAGCAAAAATGCCGCAAACTGGGGCTCCGAGAATACTCGAATAACTGAGGAGAGGATGTTACAATCAAAAAAGACAAACTTACAGTCGAAATGCCGCTCGCCCCCCGGCAGGGAATGTCAACCTCTCCGACATGTAATAAAGGCTCCTCGTAAAAAAAAAAACCAACAGCCGTTCGGAGGCGGCTTAGTATAAACTGTAGGTCCCTCCGTTTGTTGGAAAAGCATCAAGACGCAAAACCACAAATTACCAGAGGAGCTCGGCCGAATCGGTTACAACCGATTTTTTTTGACCTGAAATTGAAGAACACACGGTGCCATATGCCAAAAAACACGAACGAATTGGCTTTATTGCGAGAGAAATTTCCTGGCCGCGTAGTCGCTCGCCTTGGCGATGTCAATCGGCCACCGAGATCGTGCATTTTTACACTGTTCGATTTTATTTTTTTGTGGGGTTACCCAAAAGACCGAGTTTATGGAGATGAAACGTTAACTCTTGAGCATTTGGAAATCAACATTCGTCAAGTTAAGGCTGAGATACCATCCAAGATGTGCCATAGAAGTGATTGAAAATTACCTCAAACGATTCGAGGTTTGCGTAGTACTTCACACATACATTACGCCTTTTGCTAGAAAATGAATTTCAAGAAAAAATAATTAATTCAGTTTACGTTTATTTTTGAATCCACAAAATGTATAACCCTGTTTAACTTTCGATTAATAGATTTTGCTTGTAAAACATATTTTTAGCGTTGGAAGTCTTCTCAATCACTTTATTCCCGATAAAATTGCAAAAAAAACCCGTTGATAAACAAAAAATAAAACAAAAAAATATTATTTTTGAAATTAAAATTATTGTTATAATTGAGCGCGCGTTTGACCAATTATTCAGAATATTTTAAATATTTTTTCTAGTTTCATGGCTCTTATAACCACGCATATATATGCAATTGTTTACATATACATATATATGTATGTACATATATATATTATAGCTAAATTTTTCTTTTAATATAATTAATATGCTGAAATATTTTCCGCGGTTTCTGCCTAAAACAATTTGTTAAGCACAGCAAAAAACAATTCTATGTGTACTCGTACATATGTATGTATATACATAAATTATTTTGACTGCGAAAGCAACTATAATCACTCAACCACTCTACATACAACTGTTTAAATATCGAACAATATTGTGGCATATTTATCTATATATATATATATATATATGTATGTATATATATAGATAATTTATTATTAATTACACTTTCTTACACACTTATGCACATCTGCATATACACACATACATACATATATGTATATACACATGTATTCTTTTTATCCACTCACACACAGTTTTTTACATGCGTTTATTTTGTTTTGATCTGCTTTTTCCACAAAATTTACATAACCCACAGCAGGCTAAAGAACAAATTTATGCACTTTTTTATTTTTCCGTAAAAATTTATGACTTTCTAATTAAAAATCAATACAATTAATAACTCAGCACTTCGTTGTTATCATTCGTAAACACTTGACGTTGGTAAAACCGTAGATCCGCGCCGTCGTACCGTTAAAAAGAACCATTAATATCCGCTGCTCACTCTCTACTGATACTTGGCTTTATTTAGTTTTCGATATTTATCGCTCTTTCTTTCAATGGGCCACAAATTGTTAACAAGCGGTTGGTATGACAAAGATTCGGAAAATTTAACACAATTCTCTCCGAGGGAGAGAGAGAGAGAGAGAGAGGGAGAGAGGAACAAGAGTGGCTGTTTGTGAAAAAAAATAACACCATTCTGAGTCAATAGAATTACCCGTACATACGTTAGAATATTAAAAACACTTAAACCGTTCTAAACATTGCAGTAAATTAACAATAATTCTTCATTTAATCAGCAATAAACAAACACTTGTGTTGAGCTGTTTTTCTTCTCACAACTTAATTAGACTTGAAGCACTGAGTTTCTGCTTTCTTTGAGGAACGTAAAATGCCATGATTGGTTACTATATTTGTTGACGCCACTGCATACTATTACCCAGCAGCAAAAGGTGATTGGCGGCCTCAATAGCTGAGTAATTAAATTTGTCTTGCTAATAGCTAAAGTGAGGGTCCAAAAGCTGAATTCATAGCTGAATTTCAACTCAGCGATGTCGTGGGAATTTCAAAAAAGAATAACTACCATAACTGGGAATACGAACTGAACAATTGCATGCACTAACGACTTACATATATACGAAGAAACCTTCGCTGAATGAAAGTTACTGTAGGAGGGAAATTATGCTAACTAGGCCGCAAAGTGTTCAGAAGTTTCATTGTTAACAGACTATTAATGTTTGAGCTATCGTCAACCAATCAACATAATCGGTATTGATATGAGAAATATTGAAAAAAATCGAATATCGTTGTTATATGGTTCCTTACCAAGAAGAAAAATAAGTTTTCGGCGACACTACTCTGAGAAAACCACTGATTTGCAAGTGGCACAGTTTATTTAAACAAGGAGGTGGATCGCTTGATGACGATGATTATTATGGCTAAGGTGACAAGGTGACGAGTATGCTCACGTCACTGTAAAAACAACAGCTTGTCATGTGTTCACGTGTATTTTTTCACATCTGTAATGAAAAAAAGGAGGGTGTAATGAGCAAAATTGTTACTAAAGATTTGAAACTTGAGTCAATCATTATGCATCTACGTCAACACTGCATGGAGTGAACCCATGAAGTTTAAAGTGACTTTCTGCACAAAATCGCATTACATATACATTACTTACAAGCATAAAATTTGTATATTTTCCGAAAACACTAAGCACAATTTTGAAATTTAACATCGCATACCCGCTACTATTACTAATTCGCTTACTTTTTTTCCGTAGTAAATTCGTTTGCTACTGGGATATGGATGTATGTGCACATTCACATACATATACCTTTTGTTGGTAAACATACATACCTTTTATGTTGAGAGACAATGTATCTTAAGCAAATAATGTTGAAATTTCACTCACTCCCACTTTCATTTTTCTCTCTCTCCCCCTCTCCCTTATGAGAGCAGAATTCAACAAAAATTCGAATTCTATTTTAGGGCTGAACAACCCTCCGTCAGTGTTGAAACTTTAAGGCAATTGCCGTGGAACTGCTACATTTTTCAAAATAGCACTGAAATTTTTTTAGATATTCAGAAATCATATTTTATATACTCGTAAGTAAGAAGGGAGGAATCTACTGACTTACAGTTTATAATAAGACGCCTTCGAACGGCTGTTGGTTTTTTATGAGGAGCTTTATATAACTTGTTGGATGTCAGTACGACGTCAGGACTTAAATCTGAGCCTTCAGAATGGCAGTAAGCAATGCTAAGAACTACGTAAGTTCAATTACCATTTAGAAAAATTTAATGAATACTAATTTTTTCAAGAAAGGCATCAACATTTTCGTCAATTTTCTCTCAACCACATGTCTCTGTAAGACGCAAAAACGCTTTTAATGCAATGTTATGTCCAAGAATTTAGCTTTATTATAAAGATTGGAGTTTGCAATTAATTTTCAAAAATGGTTACGGGCTAGTGACCGCCGCGGCTAGCTCGAATAAATACCTCTCAAGGTATAGTTCACTTCTAGCTTATCTGCGTAGACAAAGCGACTTTTTTACTACCCCATTAAATACAATCCAGTGATGTTTTATCGCACGATCTTGCAAAGGTTTCCTTCAGCAATTTGATACTTTCGTCGGTATGTATGCGCATTCTTGTTGGAACCAAAAGTCGTTCACATCAACTTCCTCCAATTCATTTGTTTCCATAGAAACCTGTAGCCCATGCCGTTTTATTTAATTAATTTTTGTGATTAATCCTCAACTGTTGGTGAATCCGAAACCCCAATTGATGATGATGGAAAAGACGTTCCATTACCTGACCATGAAGAAGTTCGAATAGCAATCGCCCGCTTAAAAAAAACCAATGCGGTGGAAGCTGACGGCCTATCGGCAGAACTATTCAAATATGGCGGTGAAGAGCTGACACGGTGCATGCATCAGCCACTTTGTAAAATATGGGCAGACGAAAGCATGTCCGACCACAGTCTGCGCCAATTACCGTGCGATAATTCACCTTAATATCGCCTATAAGGTCCTACCGAGCGAATTGTGTGAAAGACTGAAGCCCACCGTTAAAAAAACACTCCATCAGGAGCGGGAAGGACCTCTCCGAGCCGTTCGATATCGAACGAATACCATAGACGATGGAGCGATGAGCTGTACGAGCTATACTATGTTATTGACATAGTTCAGCGAATGAAGAGACAGCGGATACGCTGACTAGGTCATGTCGCCCGAATGGATGGAAGCACTCCAGTTTTGAAAGTATTCGATGCAGTATCCGCTGGTGGAAGCAGAAGAAGAGGAAGACCTCCACTCCGTTGAAAGGATCAGGTGGAGAGTGACCTGGCTTCACATGGTCTTTCCAAATGGCGCCAGGAAGCGAATCGCGTAAACGGTGCCAACGCCAATAAAAAAGAAGAAACTCAATGACGACAGCATGAAGTTTACGGTAGCAGACTATTTTTAAAGAACAGACGAATTTATTGTTCAAGGTTTGTAAATTAGAACCAAGCTTACCCACTTACAATTATTTCTACTACTATTTTTGATATACTTCAGAAATACATGCCATCTGCTCAGTGCCAAAGAATATATTTTCTATTAGCACTGACAAAAGCACTTAACATAGGTATTGTTATCTACATATCAGGTGTACAACTTTGCTTCCGCCGTTTTTTTTCCAAAATTAAAAGCTTTATTGCGAAAAAGTGTTTACAGCTATATTATTCAAAGTATTGTCCTTCGCTATCGACAACTTTCTCCCATCTTTCCGGCAATTTTCGGATCCCGGCTCGAAAAAAGGAGTCCTCTTTTGACGCTATCCATGAAGCAATCCATTTTTCCAATTCTTCGAAGGATTGAAAATGTTGATCTGCCAGGCCGAGTGCCATCGAACGGAATAGGTGGAAGTCAGAAGGCGCGACATCTGGGGAATACGGCGGGTGGAGCAAGACTTCCCATTTCAGCGTTTCCAGATACTATTTGACCACTTTTGCGACGTGAGGCCGTGTCGGAGGATGACTTTGTCATGTCGCTCTTGATATTATGGCCGCTAAGGCGCATCAGTTGCCTTCGGTAGCGATCTCCTGTAATGGTTTCACCCGGTTTTAAGAGCTCGTAGTAAATCACACCGAGCTGATCCCGGAAAATACAAATCTTAACTACCATGTTTGTCTGCGACATCGAAATCACCATTTTTAAAACGTTGAAACCACTCCCGACACGTTCTTTCACTCAGAGCAGCATCACCGTAAGATTCTGAGAACATTCGATGCGCTTCAGCTGCGATTAATTATTAACCAGCCTCAGCCCGTACAGCCACCTATCGGAAAACGGCGGAAGCAAAGTTGTACACCTGATATGTAGATATGTACATACATTGTATTAAAAGACTTCAACAAGATAGTGCTATAGAATAAAGATAATCTGTTTAAAGAGGCCGTGAGTTACCGAAAAGAACGACGTCCCCATCTGGAATAGCGGGTTGGCATAGTTCAGTCTATCGAAATCTCGTGATAGGACAAAATCAAAAATGTTCTCTTTCAAAGAAGATCAGCGTGGAGAGATCTCTGTGTTGGCATTCACGAACTACGGAACAAAAAAGTAATTCACTCTGGCGGAATACAATATTTATTCATTTATGATTTCTATTAAATTCGTTAAATTCGATATTTCTTATTTATTGTTTAAATAATTTCATGGATTCATCAACATATTTGCCATATTACACTCCGAACTCTGCAGGATATTCCCACAACAGGACCAATGTCGACTACCCGGATGGCCGGCATGTCCATGACCACAACCATTGTAACCTGGCATACGTCCATCACAGGAACATTTCACCAATTTATTACCCTTACTCGAGCAGAAGGTGCAGCAATGATATACGCCGCTGTGCGGACGTACATTGAGTGCGAGGAATGCGAAAGGACTGCCCTGGAAGTAGAAGAGGGTTACGTGTTTAAGAATTTGAAAGCATTAAACAAAATTTTATGCAGTTTAGTTACCTTAATGGGCTTATCATTTATAGTTATTGTCAGCACTAACGTGCCCTCGGCGTCGGGCGTAAAACCAATGCCATAAGTGCCATCTCGATTGTCGGCGATCTGTTTAAAAAATAGAAAATTAGAAAATTGCTCTAAATAAATTTCGTAGATTTACTACACTCACCTCGACGGGCAAGAATTTTGAGTTTGCTTCTTTGTACTTAAGTAAGGCCTGTATTTGTAAGCCGCCATGACATAAACCCGCACCGTCAGAGTCACGCGACTGCAGCAGTAGCTCGACACGTTTATGTAGACGCAATTGTGTGAAGCCTAGCGAATGTTCACTAGAGAAGAAGTTACACTAAATATCATTTACTTACCCTCCCATTGCAGCGAACACAACGCAGGTTCAACGGTTTGCATCGTTATAATACCGAAAAGTGGTATATCATTCTGGGCCCTCATCGCGGGTGCGCGTATATGTGGTAGAAAGTGTAGGGAATCTGTGAACTGTAACGGAAAAAAATATTTAGTATTCAGAGGTGATCTTATAGGCTGTGCTTTCGCCTACCGAGCCAAAAGAGGTTACACATGAACCCACAAACTGGGATTTGCGCTTTGATGTTTTTCCCACAAATGGAGAGACCTACAGTTTAAACTAAGGAGCCTTTATTTGGAGGGGCGACCGCAATTAAAAAATTTAGCTTAACTTTTTATTTAAATTAATTTTCAATAACTTTTTGATGTTGGTCATACCAGGTTTTGAACCCTAGCCTTCCTAATAACAGTACGCGGCCGCCAATGTTGAAAATAATTGCAATAAAAGAGGGTAGGTAAGAAAAAAGATCGAGAGTGGCTGGATGAAAGACGGAGCTCAAAAGTAGACGTATGTCTGTATTTGGAACGACGAAAATTCTAGAATCATCGACTTAAGATGAAGAAATAGATTTTTTATTGATTGAATGCCTTTCCCTAGGATATACTTCGTCTGGCTCAATGTGTTTTTATTTAGAAAGGGTCTTCGATGACCCTCATGAGGCGTTCTTATTGGTATAGAGGAAGTCCCATGAATTTTATGTAATACACTTTTCCGAGAGGAATTCAAGCTGGAGCTTATCTCAACAGCTGATCTGAAGTTTTTAGCCGAAACAACATGGAAGAAGAAATATGTAGAAAGGTAAGCGCCGTCTCGTAAGGAAAACTGGACAACGATAATAAATGCGGGCCTCATAATATCACAGAAACTTCTTTCCTACCCAAGAGCTCTAGTATGTAGTGGCAGTTCTAACTAGGGGCCAAATTGGTCGGCAATAACCCAGTAAGATTTTGTCACATCCTCACTCTCAAAGTTGCTGGAGGCGGAAATGAGGTCATTTATGCACTTTCGTATGACTGAAAATTCTCGACCTACCAACTCGGCAGAGTTAACAGACACAGTTAAAAAGGGCATTTAAAGATTTGTGACACACACTAAACGAATTACTCAATAAAGAGTCGTCCGACGTTCCAGATTTTCTACATTTGTGGCATGGGAACTCGTTACTTCAGTCTAACATAACCTAACTTATGTAGGATCGGGATAGATTTACTAATTGACCCGCATTGTTTTTGCCAACTAAAGCTTCTTTGTTAAAAAAAAAGATCCAGATGCATAATTTGAAACACGTCGCCTTAAAGGTGGACTCACTTTGGCTCACTATAAAGACGGACCATTTCCTTTCCTATGGTATAATCCCAAACTGGAGTATGGAGCATGCGGAATACCCTAACGAGCTACTGAATTTTTGATGTTAAACATATTTTTAGGTGACAAGGTATTTAGTCCTGTGGTAAAGCACTTTCTTTAAACGACATGACAACGGGTTCAGTGACGTTTCCTACTTGGAGCCCGAAAGCACTTCCTCCTAACGTATTTTTAATTATATTGCATTTACCTTTGGATCAGCTGGCATTTTAAACTGCTGGCAATATTCGAAACGTTTAAGTAAGATGTTTAGAAACGAAAGCACTTCGACATCGGAACCACAATCGGTGAGCTCTTGAGCAAAACGTAAGGCATCCACGGCTTCATTGTTGCGTTTTTCTAGTAGGTCCATAGAAAAAAGTAGTAGTGTAATATAAATACTATAAGACCTACTAAAACCCACCCAAATCCAACTGCTGCTCGAGTATCATCTCAACTTTCGACTCGCGTGCTCGATGCACCTGCTGCAACAACGTCTTGCGATGTACTTCAATGGCCTCGAAGTACTGACGCATGAATGCCTCTATCTGAGCTTGTATGTCATCACATTTCTTATTTATTTGTTTAGCGATCTCACTCATGCGCTCAACCGAGAGCTGGGCATAGTGAGAAAGGGGACGCGTGTGATTCACAGCATCGTGTAGTAGTTTAGAGTAGTTAACGAAAGCTTTTGGTATCGGCTCATGTTTGTGACCTTTGTGTAGAAGTACAAGACAATCAGAGCAGGCGATCTGGGCGGACAAAAAAAGAGCGGATTAAAATAAGTTTTGCTCACGTTCCTTCCTTGCACCCTCACCTGCAGACAATTGTGACAGAAGGCTTTCATCTCAAAACCGGGATGCATGCCACATTTCAGTGTGAAGCTCGCTTTATCTTCGAAGAGTGTTTGTTGTTTTTTACGCGCGCGTCTCAACTCAATTATATTTCGTATGCGGTGATCGGCTGTGTTGCGTTGACGCTCGTGCGACTCCTTACAGAGCGTGCAGAGGTTTAACGTGCAGTTAATGCAGTGATAAGTCGCCTGCAAGTAGAATTTAACAATGACTAAAACTTCCGCCTTGCGTGCAAGTAAAGAAAGACCACTCACATTTGTTTCCTCGAAACAAAGACTACACCAAACCTTTGTGATCACCTCGTCACCCAGCTCTTGCTTGATTGCTTCGATTCTTCGAACGAGTAGAAAGTTTTGGGGTAACTGTCTTATGCCGCCCACAGGTATTGCAGTAGCAAATTTGCAAGTCTTACAACTGATGTAGCGTTGGCGTTCTTCGGGCGGAGCGGTTAGGCGTATTGAGGAAGAGCTTTCCGAGCTCCTGCCATCTGACTTGGACTGTGGATTAAATTTGTTTTGTTTTTTCCGGCTTCATATGTTTTGCCTGATTTACTCACCCGCACTTTTAGTAAGATTCGCTCGAGGGACTTCTTGCGTTTGAAGCTGAAAGAGGATTGTCGTTGACGGGACGGTGAAGTAGAGCCACTGCGCACGGACATTTCGGGTGAGGACGAAGGCACGCTATAGTTGGACTTGTCGGAAGCTGAAAAGAGTGAGGAAAAAGATGCAAAGATTTACTGTTACAGCGTGAGAAGTAATAGAAGTATAAAACCTTGGTGCAAGAGTGAATGCGACCAAATCACATTACGCTAGAAATTATCAAGGATCCACAAAATCAGTATATTTTTGGTAATTCGCTACCGGTAGCCTCTGAGCTTGCATCATATATACAAGACTTGATTCCTGAAACTGTTATGAAACTATTATACTTACAACTATCATAGTAACCAAGTCGGACAGATCGGGAAAACTCTGAACGGATCAATACCACACAAAGTACAGTCACAGGAATCCCATCCGTCGAAATCACGAGATCATCGATCTAAGAGCATCTGCTACTGAGTTACCGTTGAACGGTTACGATTCGCGAGTTGTCGTCGTCGACTTTCTATTGATCGACATAATCAGAATCCATAGTCTTGTCCGTGATACAACAATTGAGTTTAAACAATCAGCGAATTCGGAGCAAAAAGTAATTTCATAATAATTCTAGGCCATACAAGAGCCAAGAGTTTCTCTTATCAACCAAACTCAGCTATACACACATTATATATATCTCCTCTCCTTCTATTTGTGATTTTGCGTCGTTTTACGAGGAGCCTTTTATTTCGAAATACACTCGGTGGGGTTGACATTCCCTGCCGAGGGGCGGCCACAATTAGGAAATTTAGCTTATTTTTAATTTTTATTTCTTTTTAAATTTTTTAAATTTTTACGCCATTATAAGACTTAAGAGAAGCCACATACAGGAGACTTAAGTTAGGTTCTCTTTCTGCCGTGACCCAAAGCGTCACATGAGTTGGTTAGTAGTATAACTATGTCCCATTGCACAGCATGCTACCCTCCTATTCTCTTTATCCACATAAATAATTCTACAAACAAACTAAAAGTCTAATTCGGATATAATTAAAAAATATTTATTTTGAATCATTTAACATTTTACACTAAATACTCTAAAATCTATAAGTAAATACTTCGGAACGCTTTTCTTTGTTCCTCGTCTTTGCTCATCCATGGTTATAATTTGAACCACTTCATCCTCCACTGCCACTGTGTGGCATCAGACATCTCCATAATTTTTCTGTGACTTCACGAATTCGCGGACTTTCCATTTCATTAACTCCATACATGCTATAGAGTCTTCCATACTGCTGTGACCCACATCACCAACTTGGATATCCCGCTTAAGGTACTTTTTACTCAAACTCTTCAATGAACATCTATATGGAAATCCCAGATGATGGGGAAACTCATACGATGTGTCCACGATACGTTTGTGCACCATTCGCAGAACACGCAGATCATTTTCCAAACCATGACCGATAAGAATAGTGTCGGCCTTTATCAGTTGCAACAGGTCTTTTTGAACTTCTCCAAAGGACTTTAAGTATTTATTTTTCTTCCGGCTTAAGTCATCTGCTGTTATGCCAGAAAATCTTGTATTGTAGTCCACGACCGCACCGATGGGTTGCACAAAGTGATCATAAATTAGCTGATCATTCCAACCTACGACTGTCACTCTAGCGACTTCCAGTCCACGACCTGTGAAGACCATCTCACAATCCAAAGAGAACACTTTTGACGCTACATTTGTTGATTGTGCATCAGTGCGTGGCTGGGTATATACGAAATCATCATAAGGTCCGTTAACACCCATTTCAATGCCAGTCCATACGTGAAATGCATTATGGGCGCAACCGGCGGAGTCCTTGCCGCCCGCACAGCAAGTGTATTCCTTCAAGTTGTCCCCCTTTTTGGAGTCGTAGAGTTTACCCCAGTGGAAAGTGCATGTTTCGGCGCTAATGTACTCGCCTGAATAATTAAGGTGGAACGTCCGCTCACAGCGAATGCATTGTTTTTCCATAAACTGTACGCCGTCCAAGTGTTTGCTATAAAGTTTACTTGAGCGTGCCCCTAGGTAATCGAAATGCTTATAGATCTCGGTCGTGCCTTCTTCCCTAGCACTTTCCGTGGGATAACCGTGGAGACGTTGCAAGTTTACTTCCATTATGTAGCGACTTAAATGCTGCACAAATTCAGCCTCTGATAGGTTCAATTTATTCTGTTGTTCCACATCTACCTGGTTTTGGTGCTGAACTGCGCGCTCTCTTTCTTCATGTAACCGTGTTTGTTCTTTCTCTTTCTCCAGTCGTTCCTCTGCAAGCTTCAGCTTCTGTTCACGCTGCAGATTCAACAATATCTTGGTGACTTTCAACTCTGGTAACTGTTTTGCTTTCACATTTTGGCTCTTGTTGATCTTAGTACTTTCCGATCGTTTATTTGCTACCCACTTGTTCTGGAGCGCATGCCTCGATAGGTTATGCAAGTGCATATGCAGGTCTTGAAAATGTAGCTTTTGACCTGGATTTGGTGCATAATATTGATGGTGATTTACATTAGTCAGAGCTCTTCCTCTGTGTACTGGTCCATCTTGCTGGTGAGTCCTTCGTGTATGGTGAGAATAACTTCCGAATTGACGATGCATTTTATCGTTTTAAAATGTTTTTTGTAAATTTATATTTTTTAAATTTTCAGTGTTGTTGTCTTGATAGCCTTTAAATCGATAATGAAGCATTGCAGGCTGACGCCCGCTTTTATAGCTGCCGCGCAGCGATCAGCCATTGGTATAACCTGCGCTAAGTGCCCGCAGCGCTATCCTTTTGGAAAAACCCATGTCCCAGGAAACGGGAAATTTACTTTGGAAAGTGCCGATCGGAAATGTTGTGTAGATCAATAGCAACGCCTGAGTGATCATGGGTACAAGTCTTGGAATATTTTTTCATGGCCTGAAATAAAACTTATCATACAGTAGGCGGCTCAAAATTGTTTTCCTCTCTGATTATAGGCGTAACAAATCGGAAAAGAAGCACAGCAGTTTCGTTTTGGAAAAATGTCCTTTACGCGTCATTACTAAGAAATCTGTAAAGAAGTCATTAAATCATTTTTGGTTTAAAGAAATTACCAAATCCATTAGACAATGGAGCCAGGAAAAAATTATATTAGATTAAAAAAAACTTAAAAACAAATATATATGTATGTAATTATTATAATAAGTGTAAATTTTACAATTTTGGAGATAAAGCCCTAAGCGGTCTTGATAAAGTTTTACACAGGCCTTTGCGAGGAATTCAACAATATTGATGGTGGTTTGCATTCTTTTCTAATAAAAAAAAATCTTGAGCAACTTTTACAAAAATTAGCACTCTTCCACTTCGCTCGAATTCTAATCTATGGAATTAGATAAAGAAAATACGTTTTTTTTTCATTTCGAATGGCTGGTCATATCATGTCAATTGCTGAGCTCTTTCTCTGATTTGCGGTGGGCAGATTGAAAAAAAAAAATATTTTATTACTTTGAATGTCGGTATGGCCGGAATTATAATAAATGCATACATACAGTCATTGACAAAAGTTTGAATACACCTATAAAATTCCACTTTTTATTGAAATTAATCATTTTAAAGTAAATGTAAGAATGCAGTTTATTTAAAGTAGATAATTAATAAACAATACAATCCAAAAAAATATTAAAAGTCGAGTGGATAACGGTAAATTCTTTAAATACATTATACATACATATTTCATATTTTGTTTAAATTAAACTAAAAATATAGAGGTTTAAAACAATTTTAATATTTTGTTGGCCCCCCTCATGCTTCTATAACTGCCTTTAGACGACGTGGAGTAGATATAACCTAATTTTCTATTTCAGATGGCGCAATTTCAGACTATGCCTTTTTCAGATATTCTTCCAAGGCTTATTCGCTGGTTGAAGCAGGCATAGGAATTTTTCGTGCCAATGACTTCCAAATATGCGCTTTGGGGTTCAAGTCTGATGATTACGGCGAACTATAAACTTGACGAGGAGCATAGTTATTCCTTCCTCAAACCCGCTGTATGGTTATGTCCGTTATCTTATTAAAATATCTACGAGCTTCCGAGACCCAAGGAATTCACGGATGACCGCCTATGTCGATCCAAAATACTTTTGTTAAGTTGCCAGTTGCTCCGAACGCTCACCAAACCTTGACATTACCCTTACTGTGCTTAACGGTTCGTATTTAATTTTGGGTTTGATAAGCTGTCTTTGCTTCACGCCAAATTTTTACGCAGCCAACGCTTCCGAACACGTTAAATTTCGATTCGCTCGTAAACATGAGTTTTCTCCAAAAGAATTCGTCCATATCCTTGTATTTATTTGCAAATTAAAGACGAAGCTCCTTATTTTTCTCAGATTTTACAGGCTTTTTACGTGCAACTCTGCTTCGATAGTTTTCTTCCCGTAAAGTTCTTGCCATCGTTTTTGGTACATGGGTACATTTTTGCCAATTTTTAGCGATGCTGTTGGCTATCTTTGGAACACTTATTTTAGGATTTTTGTCACTTTCTCGGTGATAAAACTAACATCTCGACATGATAGCTTCCTTCGACGCCTAGATCTTGTTTTTTCAATCTGCACACAGCAAGTCAGAGAAGGAGCTCAGCAATTGATATTACATGACTTGACCAGCCATCCGAAATAAAAAAAAACGTATTTTCTTTATCTAATTCCATAGATTAGAATTCGAGCGAAGTGGAAGGGTGCTAATTTTTGTAAAAGTTGCTCAAGATTTTTTTTTATTAGAAAAGACTAATGCAAACCACCATCAATATTGTTGAATTCCTCGTGAATTTTATCGCAAAGGCCTGTGTAAAACTTTATCAAGATCGCATAGGGCTTTATCTCCAAAATTGTAAAATTCACACTTATTATAATAATTACATACATATATTTTTGTTTTTAAGTTTTTTTTAATCTAATTTAATTTTTTCCTGGCTCCATTGTCTAATGGATTTGGTAATTTCTTTAAACCAAAAATGATTTAATGACTTCTTTACAGATTTCTTAGTAATGACGCGTAAAGGATATTTTTCCAAAACGAAACTGCTGAGCTTCTTCTCCGATTTGTTACGCCTATAATCAGAGAGGATAACAATTTTGAGCCGCCTACTGTATGAGAAGTTTTATTTCAGGTCATGAAAAAATATTCCAAGACTTGCACCCATGACCCTAAGCGTATTATATAGGTACACTACCACCACACAAAACACTCAGGCATTGCTATTGATCTGCACAACATTTCCGATCGGCACTTTCCAAAGTAAATTTCCCGTTTCCTGGGACATGGGTTTTTCCAAAAGGATAGCGCTGCGGGCACTTAGCGCAGGTTATACCAATGGCTGATCGCTGCGCGGCAGCTATAAAAGCGGGCGCCAGCCTGCAATGCTTCATTATCGATTTAAAGGCTATTAAGACAACAACACTGAAAATTTAAAAAATATAAATTTACAAAAAACATTTTAAAACGATAAAATGCATCGTCAATTCGGAAGTTATTCTCACCATACACGAAGGACTCACCAGCAAGATGGGCCAGTACACAGAGGAAGAGCTCTGACTAATGTAAATCACCATCAATATTATGCACCAAATCCAGGTCAAAAGCTACATTTTCAAGACCTGCATATGCACTTGCATAACCTATCGAGGCATGCGCTCCAGAACAAGTGGGTAGCAAATAAACGATCGGAAAGTACTAAGATCAACAAGAGCCAAAATGTGAAAGCAAAACAGTTACCAGAGTTGAAAGTCACCAAGATATTGTTGCATCTGCAGCGTGAACAGAAGCTGAAGCTTGCAGAGGAACGACTGGAGAAAGAGAAAGAACAAACACGGTTACATGAAGAAAGAGAGCGCGCAGTTCAGCACCAAAACCAGGTAGATGTGGAACAACAGAATAAATTGAACCTATCAGAGGCTGAATTTGTGCAGCATTTAAGCCGCTACATAATGGAAGTAAACTTGCAACGTCTCCACGGTTATCCCACGGAAAGTGCTCGGGAAAAGGGTGCGACCGAGATCTACAAGCATTTCGATTACTTAGGGACACGCTCAAGTAAACTTTATAACAAACACTTGGACGGCGAGCAGTTTATGGAAAAACAATGCATTCGCTGTGAGCGGACGTTCCACCTTACTTATTCAGGCGAGTACATCAGCGCCGAAACATGCACCTTCCACTGGGGTAAACTCTATGACTCCAAAAAGCTGGACAAACTGAAGGAATACACTTGCTGTGCGGGCGGCAAGGACTCAGCCGGTTGCGCCCATAATGCATTTCACGTATGGACTGGCATTGAAATGGGTGTTAACGGACCTTATGATGATTTCGTATATACCCAGCCACGCACTGATGCACAATCAACAAATGTAGCGTCAAAAGTGTACTCTTTGGATTGTGAGATGGTCTTCACAGGTCGTGGACTGGAAGTCGCTAGAGTGACAGTCGTCGGTTGGAATGATCAGCTAATTTATGATCACTTTGTGCAACCCATCGGTGCGGTCGTGGACTACAACACAAGATTTTCTGGCATAACAGCAGATGACTTAAGCCGGAAGAAAAATAAATACTTAAAGTCCTTTGAGGAAGTTCAAAAAGACCTGTTGCAACTGATAAAGGCCGACACTATTCTTATCGGTCATGGTTTGGAAAATGATCTGCGTGTTCTGCGAATGGTGCACAAACGTATCGTGGACACATCATATGAGTTTCCCCATCATCTGGGATTTCCATATAGATGTTCATTGAAGAGTTTGAGTAAAAAGTACCTGAAGCGGGATATCCAAGTTGGTGATGTGGGTCACAGCAGTATGGAAGACTCTATAGCATGTATGGAGTTAATGAAATGGAAAGTTCGCGAATTCGTGAAGTCACAGAAAAATGATGGAGATGTCTGATGCCACACAGTGGCAGTGGAGGATGAAGTGGTTCAAATTATAACCATGGATGAGCAAAGACGAGGAACAAAGAAAAGCGTTCCGAATTATTTACTTATAGATTTTAGAGTATTTAGTATAAAATGTTAAATGATTTAAAATAAATATTTTTTAATTATATCCGAATTAGGCTTTTAGTTTGTTTGTAGAATTATTTATGTGGATAAATAGAATAGGAGGGTTGCATAAGGTGGAATGGGGCATAGTTATGCTACTAACCAACTCATGTGGCGCCTTGGGTCACGGCAGAAAGAGAGGCAGATTTAGTCGAAACAAACAGATGTATGTATATGGCTTCACTTTCAAATCTAGAGTATTGTCGACCAATCGGACCACATGACTTGACCAGCAGAGCCGCTGACTCTTTATTCGCTGGACTATATCAATGTCACCATATGACTCGTTGAGCTCAGCTGCGGTTTTCTAAATTGACGATTATCAGAGACCATTCCCAAAATATTTCGTTCGAAAGCTCCTAAATTCGACTCATCAGAGCTTACAACGCGCAGGCCTTTGTACTACTTAACAGAACGGGAACGATGGTCGACTTGCATGCTAGAAGACTTTACTTTTCAAGTCCGAAGTTATTGGCAAGAGTGATTCTGCGTCGGAATTAATTGTTGTTGTTGTTGATATAAATAACCGAAATTCTGTGCATTTTCAAAGCCATGACTGTCGAGAGGATGCCCTAACTGTTTGTTTGATGACATCAGGTGTTTCGTCTTATGCTCGTACACTAACGAACCTGGTCGCTTCGCTTTCTTATTTAGTTTAAATTAAGTAAAACTAACGGCGTTCATCCACCGGGTTGATATATAGTATTCTGAGCTCTCTTACGACAAATCAAATACTAATTTGAATTTCCTTTGTAGTAAACGTAGGTGATGTCAGATCAACCAGCTGGACATTCTAATTCCATACCTCCAAATCATAAACCTTTGTACGTTTTCTATGGCGGTCGTTATAAATGGAAGTTTCCATCGGGGCTTCAGTAACCGTTTCATTAGAGCGGGTTTTTACATGGCAGGTCCGAAACTCAGCGCACAACCACGTTGCGCTATCGAACTGCTTGCGTAAAAACCGACCTCTGCTGGTAGCCGCATCTCTGATGTACAGATGCTGTACTAAGACTTCAGTGAGCCCTTAAACCAAACTTGTCGGATTGGCTCCACTAAAGCTCTCTCGCTCTCTCTTTTTCTCTCTCTTTTAGTCGTGGCCCAAGTCTGCACATCTCTTGAAAAATGTGAAAACTTCAACATAATAACAATGTGAAAGCGGTGATAATTGTGGACATATCCAAACATACTTGGGGTTACCTCTTGGTGTTACATCTCGCACTATTTTGAATCAAAATCAAAATCGCTTTAAGAAGGCTTTGGAACTTTTCGTCCAGTAGTTTAAAACATTTATAACAGTTAAGATTTTATAAAAGTTACCTTCACTCTCTCAACCATTTCCATTCTTCTCTCTCACCCCCTTTTCCGCATTGGAAGCGCACATGCGCAGTGAATGTAAACAATGGCCAACCGGTAGTGGAATGGAGCAATGTATTTGCAATAAAAGCATAAACAGGAAGCACATGGAGGAACATACAAGCCAACATACAAGGGCAAATAAAGAAGGGTGTTTGCGCTAAAAAGGAATGCGGTAAAAAAAGACTATCATTAAATGACGAAAATAGAAATGGAACAGCAAGAGGAGAACGAATAAGACGGAACAGCGGTGGAGGAAGAGTGAGAGAGGGAGTCGAGGTAGCAGAAGAGTGAGAGAGGGACGAAGAAGAGGCAGAGAGAGAGAGAGAGAGAGAGAGAGAGAGAGGTACGAAGAATATGCAAGGCATAATTATGTCGACTGAAAAGCAAGCAAGCACAGACAAAACAGAACGCTTTGTATTAAAAATAAAACGCTTGAGTGTTACCTTCGTACACGTTTTTCGCAGTTAAGTGCACACAAGGAGACGCATACACACACCTATACACATACGTATACCTGCAGTAGTAGTATTAATCTAGTGATTTTATGGTCCTCCACACGACCACAAGGACGACCGACACAATCGCCTCATACAGTCCGTGTCAGTTGCTCACACGAACCGGTGCGCGGGGCTGCTGTCGCTCGAACCGTAAACGCTCGCTTGTAAAATGCTGCATCACTTGCAAGCGCAGCTAAAAGATGCTACTAAAAAAATATATCAAAAATCGTCGAAAGCTAAAGATACTCTTTCTACTAACGGTCATTGTGCTAATTGTGATTACAGTGGTCATTTTGAACATCTCGCCCAATGTGAACTCCACTGAACGTGTGCTCGACGAGCGTTTTATAGCGCGCATCTATGGTGGTAGTGGTGGTGGTGGCGGTGTTGGTAGTGGTATGAGCGGTGGGCGTTTGGAGCAGCCACCATTGAAATCGCCCCGCCAAAATGGCGTTATTGTGCCGGAGAAATATGACGAGCATAAATTGAAGACGCGCATAGCACAGGAGCGCGTGCTGCAGCTGAAGCAGGAGCAGCAGCAGCAACACAATGCCATCGAGGCAGGTGAGGAGCATGCCAAATTGGAGGGCACCACAACGGGTGTGCATATATTCTATAGCGCGCCCGTCGCTTGGTATAAGACCAAAAAGTCACAGCTTGTCGCACCACGCGTGCAGTTGCGTGGTGCCGCTAAGGAGTTACTAAACGATGTTTCTGATGCCGTCCTTTCATCATCATTTGCAACGTCAGCAACAACGCTCACAACAACTGTGAAACCGGTGCGTATACTCAACACTGCGTTCTATCCGGCACTGGGGCTGTATAGGCCCACAACTAGTTTGCTGCAGAAACATTTCGATAACATACATAACTGTGGCATTGGCGTACTCATACTCAGCTGTAGCGGCAAATCGGGTGAAGTGGCGCTCTATCGCGAGTTGCTCGAGCTGGCGCCAAGTTATAATTTGAGTATTACCTTTGAGATAAGCGTTGCGGGCAATCAGAGTTTGGAGTTTCTCCAACAGCAATTGGAGGCTTTGCGCCGTTACTCAACTGCTGAGAGTTTCTATCGCGTTTATTCGTTATCGCGTAGGCGTTTGGTGCCCGTGATTTACGTGAGCAATGCTTATAAGTTAAGCGATACGCCGGCAGGACGTGCCATGTGTCCGTCGCAGGCGGAGAGTTTGCGAAACCTGTTTGACGGTTACTTCATCGGACACATTAGGTAAGGTTGGCAAGAATTTGTAAAAAAAAAAACTTAAAAATGTCTAAACTTCTATTTAAAAAAGTAAGGAAGATCAAGTTCGGGTAGATCGGATCATCATAGGCTTGACTGGTATTTGTATTAAGTCCAGTGATCCGTCAAAAATAGTAGGACTGTTATATGAGAGTTAGGTCTATTTCTGCACCTATGCCAGCCATTTTTAGTAGGACATAATCGCCCAGAAGAGTGGGTAATTCGAACCATCATGGATCAATTTCATATCACGTTTTCTCTAGTAATCCTTACTATTGTGGAGCAGAGTATGGAGGAAGACCCGAATGAGACCATTCACCGTAGTGCGTAATAATTGAAGCTTTGCAAATCCACCTTACGGAAATTTTTACGGAAGGATCTTGGTTTATGGGCTTACAAAATCCAACTCGACCATCAATCCCGTCGCACGTCGGTAAATGGAACCAAAACGAGATAGCAACCGCTTCATGACAATCCACAAACTATTGTGGATACGACGTTACAACCTCAAAAAGTCACTCTTTGGTGTGCTCCGTTTATTTTATTTATTTATTTACAAATGAAGCCAACCTAATGTTGTATACATTCAATGGGCAACGCCATAGAGCCATAAATATTAACTTTTTTGGGCTTGAATTGGAGGATGTTGATGTGGACGATCTTTTATTTCAACGAGACGGCGCCACATGTCATACAACCAACGATACAAATGATTTATTGAAGGAAACTTTTGATCAGCGGCTGGCGAGTGGCCTCAAAGATCGTGCGATTTACCACCATAATACTACTTTCTGTGTAGCTTTTTGAAGTCGCTGGTCTACGAAGACAAACTCCGACATGATTGACGCCTTAAATTGCTACAAAAAGTGTGAACGTATTCTAGCCAGCCGCGACGGTTACTAGCCCGAAGTCGAAGTCTTATATTTAGCTTTATAATAGAGTTAAATTCCCAACATTAAATAATATGCGTTTTATTTCTTCTTAAAAATCAAATGTCCAAAAGAACACCCTTTATCTTTCACTCTTTCTTCTGCGTAGATTAAAAAATCACGTGGATATCATGCGACGTCTCTGTTTCGAGGGTTTCTACAATAAATTACCCAGTAATGGAGCGACATTTGCGAGCACATGGAAGAATTGGTCTTATTTAAAATCATACGCCTTAACCTACAAAATGCTGTTTGTGCCAACAGTGGGACCCGGCTTTGCGGAGCGCAATAAATTTCCCAGGCACGGTGATATACAAAGACATCGGAGCAATGGCAGGGTGAGCAAGCAAACTTTATCGAATTTCTAAAATCATTGAACTCTCTCTCTCTCTCACTCTCTCTCTCTCTCTCTTCACTTTAATTACAGTATTATGGCGTGGCTTGGCGCACGGCGATACTCAATCATGTGGGCTTTATAAACATAGCCAGCTACAATAATTGGCCGGATGGCAGTCAAATTGAAGAGGTCATGCCAAAGGCGGGCTTCTTAGACTACAATCCAGGTGCGAAAACTAAGTATATAGATTTAACAACACATTGGGTGGGTAATTTCCTGAAGACGCGTCATGAGGCGGCGGCCGCTGTTGCTGTTCCCGGTCAGCCGAGTTGTTATGAATTCTTGAATAATACAATTTGTTAAAGGCCGATTAACTTAAGATGAACAATAATAAAAAAAATGCTAAATTATACAAAAAATATTTAAAAATATTTAAGAATAATATTTAAAAAAAAAATTAATAAATTATAAAATTAAATATATATTTAAAAATTAAAAAAGAAACTTAAAATCTACGAAACTAAAAACTAAACTTCAGTGGGCGATCTCAAGCTATGAAAAACAACAATAATAGTACTTTGGTATGTTACTTTCTTTAAAATTAGCTAAAATATTTAATAAACATATATATACATACATAACTATATATTGTATAATATAAATACAATACATAATTACATATAATGAAGTCATATTAAAATGGTCTCGGCCATTCAAACGTTTTGCTGTGCATTAAAAACTTTATATTTATATACTAAAATCTATATACTTACATATATTAACTACTAAGATATTACCTACATACATACTCGTATATACATACATATGATATTAATAGATATAAAATGATTTAAAAGTAGACGAGCTGTGTACGTGCGGTTAGGTTTGAACTGTGGAAATGGAGTGGGGGTCTGAAGAGCGCTTGGAACGCAGCGTCAATACACATTAATTGCATCCAAGGACGTATGCTGCCTGGAATACTGGCAGAGGAAACACATATTCAATGTTTCCTTATTTTTACTTATATCGCGTAGCCGAGTGGTGAGCATTCGGATGATCTCTGAGTGAATGCAAAATAATCTCACAACTAAGCTCCCGAGCCTAATGGCGAGTCACTAGCTTTGGGTGTGGTCTGGCGTTGTCCTGACGAATAACAATTGCCCTCATGTTGGGCCCGGCTGGGCACTTCTGGAATATCACTTCTTTCAGGCGGTCCGATTGCTGACAGTACAGATTCGAACTGAGAGTTTGGTCGTAGGGGGAAAGGAAAGATCAGAAAGTATGATTCCTTGTCAATCTCAAAAAGTACACAACAAAACCTTCTTGGCTGTTAATAGTGGTTTGAAACCCATTTGTGCTGGTTCATAGCCTTTTGCACACGATCATTTCCCTTTGACGTTGCTGTAAGTAATCTACTATCTTGTGGTACTTATACATAGAACTGCCTTGTGTATCCAACATATTTAAAGTGGCTCTAAATTATTTTTTTTTGTGCAATGTTTAGCTCCTAGGTCAGGTTCAACGATTTCTAAAATTTCTAACATTTCTCACACGTTCGATACCCAATAATGCAGAAAATGTGGTTTTAACAATACTATTACGCTATTACATAGCGCCAATCATATTCTATACCTAAGCTTCTTGAGGCAAATATCACTAGTAAGATAACGTATTCGATCTCCTCACTACTATCCAATTCCCAACACTACGAGACTACAAGATTTCCTCGTCGTGAGTTAGCATTCTTGATGAATAACCCTCCTATAGTTAGCTTAGAAGTTCAGTGGACGTCGTCTCATTAACCGTTATATGTTACTATGTCCAGGCACCCATATCAGCTTTTATAAGAATCGTTTAGCCATCACGTTAACTGATCTGCGGTAGGACAGGGCTCTTAATGCCGCCTGGCTATCCGAAAAGATATGAATACGATCTTCTGAGCACGTAATGGAGCTGAGACTATTGACCGCCTCAGCTGCCAATTGGAGTTTCAAGCTCCTTTTAGCAAACTCTGTTGTTGTTGTTATTGTAACCGCAAAATTATTCCCCAAAGTACTTTTTGGGGAATGTTGCGGGAGTGACAGTCCTTGGCCGGATAAAATCCGGGTCGTTCCGGTATAAAGACCCGACTGTCGCGGGAACTATTGGATTTTAGTCGCCTCTTACGACAGGCATGCCTTACCGCGGGTAAATTCTTGAGCCCCTAACCCGCAGGGGTTTTTACTGCCACCGTTCGGTGGCTATCTACTTTTGATTCATATCAAAATGAATCGAGTTTGCACTTGTTGGTATTATTTTGCCCCATTATTTTCAGTCCAGGATAACCACCTTAAAATCTGTAGTGAAGTCAGGTAATTTTAAGAAATTTTATATATAAATAATTGGCGATTTATAACCGCTGAATCGATTGCCATTCGAACACCTTTTGCAGGCTTACAGCGACCCAAACAGCATCATGCAGCCCCGTAATGTCAAGGGGGAGTAGATCCAAGAGGAGGCGTGGCACCATTAAAACACAGGAGTGCCATCCCCTGCCGTCTTTTTTGAAATATAGTCAGACTAACCTTTTTCTTGAGTGATTTTTGGAATGTTACGAAACCGCACTCGCAGAAAAAAATAATTAAAATAAAATAAATAAAAAATGAAAAAAATTAAAATATTAATGATTAAATCCTTTAAACTTATATCAAAAATAAAAACATATAAATATAAATACATACATATGTGCTATATATTAAGATAACTCCAATAATTGCCAATTGTATTAATTACACTTATAACGGTAACTCTTTATAGAAAATATCTACAAAATTTGTCTTTTCTAATATTCTAAATTAAATCTTATTATGTAAAACTAAGAAGATAACTCAATAGGAAAGTAAAAATAAAAGTATTCAAAAGCAATTGTTAGTTTAATAACGGTAAATAAAAATCACTTGTTATAAGAGCGTTTCGTCCATAAACTCTCGGACTGTTTTGCATATTCAATAAATTATCTAACAATATACTTACATACATACCTATATGCGAACATATTAAATTATTTCTCAGAAGCTTGATTAAATGTAGAATGGGCTTAAGTCAGAATTTTGAAAATTTCAATTTTTATTTTAGATTAAAATTTTTACATTTAAAAAATATAAACATTTTTGAGAGTTAAAAAAAATTTCTAGAAATTGCTAGTTAAAAAATCATTCCCTTTTTATATTGAAGATTTTCAGGTTATGTACATTTCGTGCTCAAGGGTCTTAAGCTACGTTTTTCAAAAGTTCAAAAAACAAAAACGTTTCGAAAAAATGTTAGTTAAGATCTTTCTACTTTTAATAAATATTACAATATACATATGTACCGTTAAAAGTATTCATGAAAAATTATGTAGAATTAACTTTTTTTTTATTCTACAAACTTAAATACTATGGAATACTCTTATATACATACATACAAACATATTCTATATATTGTATATCAATAGCTTTAAATAGTTTAGCGCAAATACATATATACATAAAAATATATAAATTAAATAAATAAAAGAGTGAATATTTTTTAGTTAAAGAAAATTTAAAAAGTCTCATGAGATAGTTATATGAGGCTTTGAGAAAAAGTGCACAAGATTCCATTGGCCACTCCTTGTGAGAAGTGTATCTTCTGATTTTAAATCCTTTGTCCTCCTTCGCCTTTGTATCTCTGCTACATAAAGGACCGTAAAGCAGAGCTTATTACATTTTTGTTTGCTAAAATCCCGGTTTTAGTGCTGTGTGGTGGCAAAGAAACCTGAGTAAGCCATGCGCGTAATGCAGTAGCCAACCCCTAGCGTAGCTTTCGGTCACTGCTATCCGGTTTAGAGTTGGTCTTGAAGCAAGTGAGACAGTATATAAATGTGATGTGTGCGAGGATATCAAATAATTTGAGAGCATGCACACGGAACGTCCGTTTAGATGGTTTATGTCCTCGATAAAGTTGAGGCTGGCATAGACACCGATCAGGAAACTCGTATTGGCCCTACAGCAGTCCCACAAAAGAGTGTAATTTTGGTATCAGGGGGATTAGGGTTCAGTTGTGAAGACTTGTCATTCAAGCATCTAAGCAAAGTTCTTCGACATCACGCCACCATTGGAAATCAGAACGGTTTTGTCAGATGTCTTTATGAGCGCCTGGAATATATTTATGAGCACTGAGCCCGCCATTATGGCTGTTTTCAGATAGAAAAACGCGAAACCTGCTCGATCATTTTGTGACAGGCAGACGACGTGCCGAAGTGTTCTAGATGGGCGTAGGCTTCAGAAACCTAAAATCGATCTATTATAGCAGCAAACAACAACTGTCAACAAAAACAAAAAATGTTCGACGTAGAAAAGCTGCTGTCACAATAGACAGCCAAACGGGTTTTCGGCTTAAACTCCTCGGTAGAGAGGAACTAAGGGATGACATTTTAAACTCCGCTAGAGAAACAATTGTTATCGACATTTAAAGAGGAGAGCTTGTACAATGAGGATCGTGGAACCGTAGTGGATCGCAAGCGGTGTATGAGAGAGTTACTGACAGCTGAAGACGCAAGCCAGACACGAGCCCCTTTTGCCGTCAAAAAATCGAGGTACCATACTGCGTGAATATGAATAGGTGAAATGCTTATGAGACTAGTGTATGACGCAAAGAGGTGAATTTTCGACTGAGTATGCTGGATTTATGGAGGAAACACTTCTCCAGCCCGCTGAATGGCAGTGAGAATAAAACATCCAGAGAAGGCGAGCTCGAATTCCCAATCTACAACGAAGGAAGACATTCTCTTACTGGACATCGACGAAGGTCCACTAGCGACTGCCTACCGAAGAACTAACAAGGTGCATGCATCAGCTTCAAAATGAGCAAAACTGTAAGCCCCATAAGGATTGGAAAACAGTTATAACCTTAAAATCGTCTTCTTGGGAACCGGTCATTAAACCAACAAAAATGCCGAACTACAATACTTTCGCTAATTTAAAATGAACCATTCAATTATCTCTCGGCAAACGAAGACTAAGCTCTTAAAGTCGTTCATCATTCCGCTCCTATCTTTTTATGTACATGGTTATATGATGACCACATCACATCAGTCGGTATTTGGAGCTCTCGAGGGAGAGCTTTTGCGGAAGATTTACAGTCCTCTACCCAAGGGTGACATCGGGTAACCAAGACAATCGAGAGATATACAGATATAGCTCAGCGAATTAAGATAAAGCGGATACCCTAGCTAAGCCGAGGAAGACGAAGACCTCCAGAACTTTAAAAATATCAAGCGTGTCGGCAAAGAACCTAACTTCACTTCGATTAGAAAGAGCTAAGATGTTTCTAAAAAATAACTGTACCTGTCCCTCTGCACTTTTAACTCTTACGTAATTACATAATAATAACCGCTATCTACAGAGTCTTACCTCAGACTCCACGATATGCTTTTACTCACCTTTCCAATCGTGCTCCTCGGCGCCAGGTTGCGACCAAAACGGTATGCTTGAGTCTTGTATGAAATTCTCATCCACCAAGCATTGGAAACAAAACGAGTGTAAACAATTCAGAGTGCGTGGATCTTGGAATACGTTGTTGCAGATGCGACATTTCAAATCGTCCGAAAACAATGATAAATCTGGAGTTACCCGATTCAGAATACTGGAACTAGGCGATGGACTTCTGCAGAGGTGGAGAATTAGAAATTTTGTTTTAATTATTTTTGTTTACCACTTCTTGAATGTAAACAAACAAGGTTGCATTTTGTTCGTTTATTCTCTGTTCCTGTTCGCTCATTTAGCGACTAACTGTATTTACTTTTTATTATCTCATGCATATCTATGTATGTTTTCCTATTAGCCTTTAGCCCTGGCCTCACGCATATGAAAACCCATTGAACTGTATACGGTCTGACGTACCTTGAACGATTTGCTGACGCTTCGATTAGCTCGCTTGGCTGGAGTGTACGCGTCGACGACAACCGAGCGCCAAATGCCCGCACCGAATGGGAGGGAGAGGGGGATGACGTTGAAGTGCGCGCTGGCGATAATATTTGTAACGATGTATTTAAGGTTCGTGGCAAAGTTGTTGAGGGAGGAAGAGGTGTGAGTGCTGCTGTTGCGATTTGCTTTTCACTGGGAATTGTTAACGACGGCGACAAGCCCCTCGAGCCAGGAGATTTTAAGTTCAATGAGCGATTATCGTGCAATTCGTTTGTCTGTAATGTGAGTGGTTGGTGTTGTTGTTGTCGCTCAATTACGACGGCTTCGATAGCAACATGTGGCACATCATTAAGCGCTTCCACACTTCCACTTGGTGTGACATTGACAATTTTTGGAATTTCGCTGCCGCCTCCACCACCACTACCACCACTACCACCGCTAGCTCCACCAGCGCTGCTTAGACTACTGCTGCGCACAGAAACTGAGGACGCTGCACTCAAGATATTATCCATTAGTGATTCGGGTGAAGTGGAGCTGCCGGGTTGTGAATTAATTTCGCTTATGCTCGTATCCTCTGCTTCCGCTAATTTGGTGTTTGCCATAACAGGCACGGGGAAGGAGGTGTGTGCTGTTGCTGTAGCTGATACGAGCTCAAAGTGATTATTTGTGAATTCAGGCGCACGAGAAAAGCGTGTGACCTTCTTTGCTTTTGTCAGTCCGCCAGTTGTTGTTGAGGGCGACGGCAGGGGTGGTGGCGGTAATAGCGTTGGAGGTGGTAGTGGCGGTGGAATGGGCACTACAACTTTGGTGGCTTTCGATAACATTGTACTGCGATATTGTTGTGATTGTTGGTGTTTTTCAAGTAAGCTTTCTCTGCTACTGGTTTGCGTGTCTCGTCGCGGCGCATCTAGCGCTGATGATGACCTTCCGCCTTGCTGTTGTTGTTCGAAGGATGTTAGCACAATCTCTGGTAAATCGCGTCCATCCTCGATTTGCTTAAGCCCGTTACAGCGTCTCTGTGCCGCCACGTTAATAGGCACTATGGTAAAGTTGATTGGTGTATATTGTTTTGCTTTATTCTTCTCTCCCAACTTTTGCTGGTGCGGTTGCTGTTGTTGTTGTTGTCGTCTGTGTCGTGGGCAAAATCCACTCGCGCTCGTTGTCTTTGCCGTACGCACACAACGTTCTCGATTTGCGACAGTTTCCTTTTGTTTCACAGCAATTTCCGTTTCCAGTGACGCATTGGACTTATCGATTTTTTCCGACTGAGATTTTAACGATATTTTTTCAGCACTCAAACTTAAATGTAATTTTCCGTGTCCCTTCACACCACGTTCAGCACTTGATAAACTGTGACAGGAGCTTTGGCTGAGTAGTGCACTTTCGGTTTTTTCGCGACGCAATTTTCGATAGGCTACACCGCCTCTATCGTCCACTCCATCGCCCTCCTCGTTACTCACAACTTCATAATCCGTAAGTAAATTTTCACTTGCACTTTCGTAAGCATCCGGACTTATTTTCGAGTCGTTGTCGTAATTCTGTTCGTACTCGTAGGAGTTACGATGCATTTCAAAGTAATATTCGTTGCCACTCATTATAATTTTCGCTTTTTCAAGCTCACTATTTAATTAAGTATTTATTTCATGTTATATAACCCCTTGGAGGTTATTAAAAATTTGTAGTGTTGAGAACTGTGTGTCGTGTAAGCGCGCGCGTCTCTTAGAAAAGTCCATTTCTGACTGAAACCAATTCGCTTCGCATTCTACATGCGTTGCACTCAAAAGTCTGGTGTTTTGTAGAACTTGACATGAAAAATGGCATTTAATCTAATTAGTTTGGTATTTCTAGTTTCGTTTCCAACTGGCTTCGCACATTTCGACGTATAACTTGCATTTGGTATTGAATTACAAGCCGGCAACCGTTTTTGAGCCAATAGTCTGCGCGTATTGACGAAAGTGAGCGGGAAAAGTAGTTGCGAAAAGGTAAATATTGGTCAAATGCAAGTAGTTCACGCTTAACAAATAAAACCAGGTGAAGTAAAGTGTGTAAAATTTATTTGTTTAGAAAAGCCAATAGACGAGATTGAAGCATAGGAAGAAGAGCTAATATTGGGTGAATGGAGTTCAAAGAATCATTGAAATTTATTAAATGGTGATATCTTTTGAGGTTAATTTTGGATTTATCTAGGTAACAGGGTATATTGCAATATTAAGGATGGTGGGTTGGGGCTAAGATAGACTAAAAGCAAACAACTGTTTCCTAAATGCTGTCTTCTTCCAGCACCCGTTCAAAAATGGAAAAATCCAGTAGCCTCTAAAGCGCTAATTTTCAATCTTTTTTTTTATTAGTTTGATATTTATACAATATTGATGACTTTCATCAACGCGAACTTATTCCTATCCATTGACTCCAATGATTCAAGATGTCGTTTGTTTTTCATTATATTCCACTTCTGAATTATATCTTTTAGTCTCTGCTTTTTAATTCTAACTATTTTTTTCATATTCAGTTTATTTAAAGTCAACGATTTATTTTAGTTGCAACAATATTTTTTTAATATTTTTGGCAGTTAAACATTAAACACTTATTTCTGAATAACATTATTTTTAATATTCTATAGCCTTTCGAGTCTAGTCTTTTGCTTTACATAAAATTAGGGAACTAATTTAAAATTAACGTTATAAAAGAACTAATACTATTTTAAATGCTATTGTGTACTTTTTCGCAGGCCTAACTTAAAAAAGCGGGTATTATATGTATATTTACTGAAATTATGGATTGCCAGGCACAATCCTGGCATTGGCGTAATCTCATATCTTCGGATTAAATAAATATTCCATAGGAATTTCAGAGTCGCTTAAACGTAAACGTTTTTGCGGTGATGCACCATCATATTTTTTACTTGCCAATGGTAAATCATAATCGGAACAAAACTCACTCTCTGCTGCTGAATCACATTCCAAATCCTCATCGATATCCATATCATTATCGGCAGTACCATCGTCAACATCATCACATGTGAATGATTCACCGATTTTTGTTGAATTCGCCTTGGGATTATCTGGTGTGTTTGGATTCCTTACTTTTCTTTTCGGATTTTTCTTTTGTTTCGCCTTTAATGGCGTTGCAATTTTCTCACGATATTTACGCCAAAACCCCGCAGGCTGGGCATATTGAACTAAATTGGGAAAACGTTTGGCCAAAGCATGGCCCAAATCATCGAAAGCCTTCTGTAATGCGTCATCGGAGTGAGCAGTGAAGCACTTATGTATTGTAGGTATGAAAATTAGGGATTTTTCGAGAATATTAAGCTGCATGAAGGAGTAAAAGTTTCATAAAAAAATTAAATGGCAGTTTTGTTTTGTTGTATTATTTTTCATACCGCATCAGGCATTGTGACCACTTCTCGCCGCCGTCCACGCCCACGCCCTGTGCTGCCCGTTGGAGCCGTAGCTGGCGTTTTTCCTACGCCCAGCCCTTCTAATGCAGTTGCTTCGTTTGCCTCGGCAGTTGCGTCATCCGTTTTATCATTTTCTCCTTCATCGTCCTTGTTTTCAGTGGTTGATTTTTGCTCTTTTATCAATTGGCAAACACGTTTTAATATGAAGAGCACGTCCTTGAGTAATGCAATACCTTCAGGAGTTTTCATGCTTGCATCGCGTAGTGATTTTTCTAAAAATAGAATTTCGGGAAATATTAATATAATTACTTAAATAAAAATACTTTTTGTTAGAACCTAGAGCCATGACTTGTATCAGACTGAACATGATCAAAAAGAAATTACTTAATTTCTTACCGGAAATTAGTTTCAGTTGCCCAAAATAGAGCACCAAGTTCACTTCATCCACCGACGTCATCAAGTGATTGTACAATAATTGCCGACTTTTACGCTTTTCCTCACCCTTCAGTGGTGATTTAATGCCAGTATCCGAGAAACTATCCAAACCATCGAAATCCTGTTATGAAGTACAAATAAACCAAACGGGAGTTTTTAGTTGCATTCCACGCACTCACCTTAAACTCATTGAAGACGAATGGACACTCAATCAAACATTTCTGAAAGAGTGTAGAATTCTTTTTGCTGAGAAATTCTGCGAAAAATTCACAAGCACGCGTCGCCAATTCCCTATTCTCATCCAAAATTGCCGCCATAAGAGCCAGCAACAAGGAACCACGCAGCTTCAATTGATCCTGCAGTACCAGCTTCTCAAAACACTTGAAAGTCTCGATGCGATTCACTACATACGGTGAGAACAATTTCGCCAACACATGCACAATAATACGCTCTACAATTTGTGTATGTTTCTTGCAGAGGTCCGTTAACGCTACAACGATTGTATTCACAATTGGCGGCCGATCAATGGTTCTTAAAATTGAGCCATAAATCATACAACTAGTACTGGCAGTTACAGCATCACGCAAAGACAAACGCCCCGCAATTAAAATCATCGAATTGAAAAGACGCTCATTCTCCAAATCCAACTCTGACTCTGGCAATTTCAAACAGACACTCATATACTTGTGCACAAAGGAGACAATGGTGTGATGTGGACGTAAACGTGTCTGCAAGTTTACCTCCGAGTAGGAATATAGATATGACATGAATATAGCGCGATTATCAGGAAAATCCGCAATACCGGAGAGTACATGATACTCGAGTAATTCGTGTAGTTCGAGTAGCCACGTTTTTTCGCATAACTCAAGTGGATTGCTTTTGTTGTTTTTACTTTTGCTCGCCTGAGATTGCGAACAGTTGTCAATGTGTATGAGTAGATCAAAGGCTTTACCAATGAGTACCGGTATTATTTGACCTTCACGTATTTGTGTGAGTATATGATTGAAGGCGTGATTGAGTGCTGTGTGCGAGAAATCCTGTATGCAATTGGAAAGGACCTCCAAAGCGATGAGCATATTTTGTTCTTTGTTCCACTGAATTCAAGGGTGGATAGAGATATGTGATTAAAATATTTTTATAATGTACTGTTAAAGGAATTTTACCGATTTTAGTGATGTAAATAGATGTATAAGTGCATCGGGCTCCTTACTCTTTATTTTGCCCGAAACAAAATTCAGTACGATCCAAGCTTCTGTGGAATTGGAAGTGAGTAGATGTGACTCGATAACGCTGAGTATTTCCGAGCTGCAAAAGATATGTGCGTAAGTGGGTATTAAGTCAAACGTTACGGTACGGGTTATTACGAATTCAAAACCATACAAAAAGAAGACTACTCACTTCAGCATACGCTGCTGTAGAGCCGTATGAAAGCAAGTCTGTAAATATAGCCTAGGTTGTGTTGACAGCATTGTACGTATGATAACCCAGGGCATGAAGTGCTCCGCTTTATTGGACTGATCGATGCCACTCAAATTTGCAAGGACACGCGAACGAAAACACTGCAAAGCAAACGAAAAGTAATTATTCAAAGTCTCATGTATCATTGGCAAAACCTTACATCCATTGCTATTTCCACATTCTTTGGATCACCGTCATGTAACATAGGCGCGACAATTTTACACCAAACCCATACAACAGGATAACAATTAGGATAACAACCGAGTATGCTGTCGATTGTGAGCAACGTCTGTTTACGCACTAGAGCCGTAGGTTCATCGACCAAACGCGTAGTTTCAGCGACAAAATTTGTATTGAAGATTATCAGCGGATTAAGTTTGACCAATTGTTCCACAAACATTATACCCGCACGCCGGATAAACGATTGTGCACTTTGAAAGAAAAACATGTAAATATATTCTGGTAAATGCATGAATGCCAATTCCAATAAACCGTGACCTTCAAAGCTGTATTTTGGCTCTAACGCTGTGGGTTTCTCATAACGTATTTCATTTTTACGTACGCGTGGCTCATCCGGTAACTCGACACCAATATCGCGGTATTTTGTATAGCGTATGCCTTCGCTAAGTATTTTCACTGTGGTGGGTGAACCTTTAGTGAGTGCGACATGTAGTGCTTGTACCGCTTTCAATTTAATAGTATTGTTGCAATCTTGTAGACTCTTTATAAGCTCATTTATGAGATATACCTCACGTGGTATGTCTGATACTTCGTGCCGAAACATTTGCCAATCAACATGTGCTTCCAATTGTAAAATACGTGAAATTAAATCTACAGCCCGTGCTCGTATCATTACTTCATCGGCATAGATGGCTTCACAAAGGAACTCCACCGAAGATTCGTTGCATTTGGTAAAAAGTGCTGCATCGTACTTCGCAGCATACTCAAGAGCGCGCTGTGTCTGTTCAGATTTCCATGACTTGATGGGGTTGGTCACAAGGCATTCGATATAAAAACTCAAAACCTTTACGAGTAGACGCGGATATTTTGAAATACATTTAATAAACCAATCAGAGATGTGTTCACAATCGTTGCTAGAGAAGGAACCATAATTGCTTTTTGGCTTAGGTGCATAAGTGTGGAGGAAAACTGTCATATTCATTAATTTCATTAATGTTTCTTCCGGTTCGCCATTGTGAGCATTTATGAATTCCTCAAAGATTTCAAAACATTTGGCATGTAGATTAGCGGAATCTGAAATATAATATTTGAAAATGTGATCAAATTAACTTTCCATGTTGATAGGATCTTTAGGGTTAAATCACATCCCCATTTATCTTAGCTTCAGTTGCGTCATATACTTTTGCACGTGAAACCAAAAACGTAAATTTTAGTAAATTATTTAGATATACAACATCACCCTTTTCACCGGAAATATCGAAAAAACGGATGTGCGGAATGTGTGCAAGTTTTCATCACACTACTTCCCGTTTAATCGGCGAAAAACTGTTCTCATTTACATGCAACACTGCTATGTTAGACAGCTGTTTACTAAAATTCATGAATGAAAGCGGTGAAAAGCAACACGAAAGTAAATAAGACAAATTCGAGGCTGCGTAATTTTTTGAAAAGGTAAATTGTTAAAATAAATAATTTTTTCACAATTTTTATATAAAATATTTGTAAAAATTATAGCAAAATAAATGTCAGTCTTAATAAAAGCGTCCGGCCTAGGTCCAGTACGGCTTGTTTTCAAGCAATTGAGTGCATCGCGAGCCCTTAGCCTGAGTACAAAGTATTATGCCGAAACTGATACATCAAAACAGAAATCGTCAGCAGAGCACTTTGACATCATTATTGGTGGTGGTGGACTAGTTGGCACCGCATTGGCTGTCGCATTGGCCAAAAATAAAGTTTTAAGCGATAAACGTATACTGCTGCTCGAAGGTGCACCGCCATTTAGAGGTTTCAATGTAGAGACACAGTATGGCAATCGTGTTTCGGCTATCAATGGTAACAGCGTAGAGCTTTTCAAATCAATTGGCGCTTGGGACTACATGCAGGAACGTCGTGTAAAACACGTTAAGCAGATGCAAGTTTGGGATGCATGCAGTGATGCGTTGATCAAATTTCAAGATGAGCATTTTGCCGCTGATGTAGCATGTATTGTTGAAAATGACCTCATGCTTGATGCAATGTATGCACAATTGGCTGATAAAAACAATATGCCGAATGTAGAAGTACGCAATAACGCACGTATTGAAGCTTTAAGACTTTCGGTAGATACTGGTGATAATTACTCACAAGTGCATCTGAAAGATGGCAAAACGTTGACATGCGAACTAATGATTGGTGCCGATGGCGCAAATTCATTGGTACGGAAACAAATGAATATCGATGTGTTTAGTGTTGATTATGAACGTCGCGGAGTAGTGGCGACAGTGCAATTGGAGGACGCTTGCGATAATGCGGTGGCATGGCAACGGTTCTTGCCAACTGGCCCCGTGGCATTACTACCATTAAGTGAAACACTCAGCTCGGTTGTGTGGAGTACAACTATAGCGCATGCTAAGGAATTGTTAGATATGCCTGCTACGGACTTTACTAAAGCATTAAATGAAGCTTTCTTTAAAGAATATCCTAAAGATGGTGTTGTTGTTAATGCAATGAATACACTAAATTCGTTAATTGGTCGTGATCCGAATATTCTAAGACAATATCCGCCTGCGGTAAATGATGTCATTGACAAGTCACGTGCTTCATTTCCATTGGGATTTTTACATGCCTCGTCGTACGTTTGCAGCGGTGCAGCATTGATTGGTGACGCCGCACATCGTGTACATCCGCTTGCTGGTCAGGGCGTAAATCTCGGTTTTAGCGATGTACGCGAGTTGGTAAAAGTGTTGGCTGATGCAGCATATGCTGGCGCTAGACTCGGTGACAAGCACTATCTTATCAAATACGAACAGCGTAGCTTGGCTAAGAACGTACCGATTATGGTTGGTGTACATGGCCTACACACACTCTACTCTACTACATTCACACCTGTGGTTCTCCTGCGTAGCTTGGGATTACAACTGACAGACACTTTTTCGCCAATAAAAAATTTGTTCATGAGACGCGCAATGGGTTGAACGCCTTACTGGTATTTTACCAATTAGTTACTTATATCGATTTTAGGACGGTGATATTGAAATTTTTGTATTGCTTGAAAAGCAAACATACATACATATGTATTTTAAAACGTTATTTTTGTCATAAATAAAGCACGACACCCATTTCGATTATTAAAAAGTAAATTGGAAATATTTAGAATTTATTTCACGGTTTTCGGTTAGTAATTGGGAGTGAAATGAAAAGAATCAGTGTTATTTGCAATGAATGAATATTTTGAAGTTTAATTAATCCATTGTTTGAAGTAGATCTTCTAATAAATACATATTTCTCTACTTACACATATTAGCATATCCACGCTCATGATTCATATACAAGATGTCTACCAATTTCTTCAAGAGTAAATTACGCGTATCTTTGTGGTCATTGAAGTGCACATATCTCAGAAGCAATTTAAAATCATCACAAAATGTTGAAAAACGCACCCAAATCTCAATGGCTTGTTGTTTCGACATGCGGCGCGCCACATCGGGATGTTGTATGCGTTCTATCAAACCGAATACCTGCAGACAATGCGCAATCACCTCCGTTTCAAATATATGAAAACCTTTCGCTCCTGGTATAGTTAGCGATAGAAAATATGCATTAACTACGGCAATTGATAGCTTTGTATAGGTGGCGGATGTTGGATCCACTGCAGCCAAACCTGCTAATGCATAAACAAAACTAAGATAGGAATCACGCGGTGACACCTTAACAACTTCATCCCAACAATCATAAGTATTATCATAACTAGCACTTGTTTCACCGCGTAAAAGACGTATGGCCGAACTTAGCTCGAGTAATGTAGATAAAACTTGAGAATCGTTGAGTGCACGGCGTACAAATGGTAATTCCTGTACAGAAGATTTGGCGCTTAGTTTGGAGAGTGGCACATCGTCTGAGTCTGCATTTTTCTTATCCTGTTCTTTTTCGGCATCGTTTTCGTAGAGTTCTTCAATATTCTCCCAAAGTAAGTTACGATCATAAAATTCACTTAACTTACTAAATAAACCTAATAATTCACTCATTTTTGTGAATGTAAACAAAAACACGGCATATTTTCAATGAAAAAATGCACAAACAAATTCGCATACTAAAAATACCAAACACATTGGGTTAAACGGCTGACTGCAATCGGCACAGTGGGTGGAAGAAGGTGAATTGCCAAATAAATTTGATAATCACCAATATTTTAAAATAGCAAATGAAAATAAATCATCAAAGGAAAATGCACCTAGAAGAAAATCAAACAATATTTTTTTAAAATATTATTAGTTATTAATAAAGTTAACACTACAGAGAGAAAGAGCAAGGGGAAATATAATAGTTGATGTTATCATGACAGCGATTTCAAATTTTTTCATTTATTGAACCTAAAAGAATGGTACCGATAGCTCATACATTTGTAGACGCTAGAGAGCTCTCTGTGATTTTGACTATCGCTAGGTAAAGGCAAAAACAAAATACATAGTCATTATTGTACTTGTTCTCTTGCTCTTATCTTTGAGAATTTGCTATAGAGAAAAATTTTTCATTTCTTATGACACAAATTATTTTGTTTTAAACACATCATATTGCAACCGTGCAATTATTGAACGAGACATCACTTTTTTCGTTCAATTTTGTCACTATAACGAATATGTCATCAAATACAAATGTGAGGAAAACTGCGAATGTCAAACGCAATAGAGACGTTGAAACGAAAGAATTTCTGTGCAGTTGGTTTGTCGAAAAAACTGAAAATTTGTTGTGAAAACTATTATTCGCTTTTGTTTAAAACCGTTTAAAAATAGAAGAAAAAAATAAAACAAAAGGAAAAAAATACATCTTAAAATAGGTGTATTTGAGAAAAAAGTGCTGTGAAAAGCTATTTGGTTTGGAAAAGTTTTCGCTGATCTATTATCAGCAAAATATATTGCAGTGTAAAAAAGAAGAAAAACAAAGAACTTTCGGTGCAAAAGGGCCCAAACTAAAAGTCACTAATATTAGCTGGTGTCATAATATATAAAGAGTATATATTTTTATAACTTATAGTGTAATAAATCCCTGGGTTGATAATAAACTGCATACAAGTTGCTGTGTAAGTATTCGTACAAATGGAATGTGTAGCGTACAAAATTTTCCAAATATCAAAATACATACATAAATATCTACCAAAAGTTTTTTTATTAGTGCCATATTGTTTAGTTAGTGGACGTTGGTAGCGTTTGGCCAGTAAGTTTGGTGATTGTTGTGTGACCTTTGCCTTCATTTTGTTGCAAAATATAGCAATTTTACACATATGTATGCAGCGATTTAACTGTGCTGTACCCCTTCCCTATTGGCTGCTTTGCTATGTAAATTGAGGTGGTATGGCTCTTTGCTAGACGAAACATCGTTAAAAGTTAGTTGGTCACTTGGTCGAAACCGTTTCACTTGGTTTGTCAGCCAAGTTTTACAGGTACGTAACTAACTAGAGTCTTTTCACTGTGTTGGGGTGCAAAATAGCCAGGTGTTGCTTGCCATTTGCTTGCGAAGGTTAAAAAGCCTGAATCAAACTTGCGGTTACGCCTTACTAAAATGTACAAACATATCTAAATTGTAGCAGCGACCGTATTACGTCCCACTCTTGAGTAGCCATTCTTCCTTAAGAGAATGCGTACGTTATGTGCATGTGCCCATTGCACTGTTCGTACGACTGAATTCCTTTGAAGTTGTCTTTCAACATATTTACTGTTCAATATTTTCATTACATGTCTGTTTTATTTTGTAACTTTTGTAGCGCTTCATTTGCGTATACACGTACATAACTACATCTGTATGTATGTAGGTACGTATATTTTTTTGTACATATACCATTTCGGCAGCTTATCTCCTGCCTAAGCTTTAGAATTATTACTGAACAAAGTGCATTTTCGTCTACTTCAATGGTGGAGGCGTTGGTGGGTGTTACAGTGTGACTATATTGTTTTTCGTTTTCCAACTAAAAACGGGCGCTATCAATGACTCGTCGGGTGAAACACTTATTATAAGTAACTTCCGTTCATGCCACCCAACACCCGCTACTCTTTCTATGCCTGTCTCCTGATTATATATATTTATATGTAGGTACATACTTCTATACATACATATAATATATCACATTTACTAAGGCTTTCGAAGGAATGAAACTGATATAAGTATATATATATGTTTGTATGTATATATGCATGTGTGTAAGCATAAGTACGTGCATGAGTATATATAATCACATATAAACCGCTTACGAAATCATTTCACAAAAATACCTACACTATCGACATTATGACTTTGATGAGTTGTTCACTCGCTTTGCGCGTTGCCATAAAGATCCTTCTATTTATGGATGTACACACGAATGGTTAGATATTTGTGTGTGTGCATTTATGAATATTCTTTTATAAATTCTTTTTGCTTTTTATTTCAATGCTTTTATCAATATCCGATAATTTTATCTCTCACTGTTTTTCCTTTATATTTCTTTGTTTTAAAAAATACATACGGTACTTGTATACTGGTATTATTCAGATTACGAAGCTTAAATAATGAAAAAGTGGGGTTAGAATATGTACTACGAGTTTTGTGATCCTTGTTGTTGTTGTTTTTGTAGTAGCAGCAAAAGTATTCTCCGAAATTGGTTTTCAAGGAGTATTGCAAGAGTCCTTGGGCGAATAATAATAAAATTATAATAATAAAACCTGAATGTCGGGGAAACTATTGGACTTAAGTCGCCTCTTACGACAGGCGTACCTTACCGCGGATAAATTCTTGAACCACTAAACGAATTTATTTTTTTAAATCTTTGCTCTTTTGTTGTTTTTGTAGTAACCGCAAAAATATTTCCCGAAATTGGTTTTCAAGGAGTCCTTGGCCGTATAAAAATCTGGGTCGTTCGGGTATAAAGACTTGAATGTCGAAACTATTGCATTTTAGTCGCCTCTTACGACGAAAAGGTAAGGTGTGGATTAACTTCGAAGAGCTCACTTAAGAAACCATCTAATACCTTCAAATATGCTTAACCCTCTATTCTCCTTAGGTACGTTGAGGAAAGTTCTTTCCGTGATTTTCCTTTAGATTTAAAAAAAATCTAAGATTAAATCGAATTGCCCTCGCCTTTGTCACATATCGTAGGCGTAGAAAGCATCTATAATTAAAAATAGCGTGACAATATGCAAAAATTTTAATTCATCAGATAAGCCGGCGCAAATGTAGTAAACATTATTCATATAATAAAAAAAATAATAATACCATGGCCGTTGTCATATGTTTTATCTGACTTTTAACTTTTTGATACACGTCGGTTTGTATGAACCGCTATTTGCCATTTTTACATCTAACAAATTTTCATATTTTGTCGACAAGCTCATCAAATATTCTTCATTCGCTATACTTATCAGCGTCCGCCCTTAGCTGGCATTGTGTAGTGGAGTAAAACGCGTGACTTATCATTTAATCAAATCGTGGTAAAGTCAAAAATTATCGTTTTTATCTCCGAAAAAAAAATATAGCAACAAACTAACTTTAATAAAAGTAATAAATAAAATCTATGAACCTTTTTTTTGTTTGGTCATACTTGCAAATCATTCCATACATATGTTGAATGCTGCCAAACAATCTTATCTAAGTGATAATAAACCACACAGTGTGCTGTAGAAATGTACGTATGTAGTATTTATATCAAAATTTGTGGTTGTGGTTTGATACACATAAATTTTTTAAGCTTGTTATTTGTTTTTTTTTTTTACATTTATTAACACTTCTGAGCCCGGTAATTTACCAAGTGCTTATTGATGAGATAAATTAATGGGAACCACGTGAATTTTTTTTTTTAATTCTTACATTCTTATCGTATCATCGGCGATTGTTTTTTGTTAACACAATTAGGGCAAACTAAGTAAATAGTATTTTGGAATCTTTATTTGTTTCGCTAAGATTAATAATATCATTCAATTTCTTTGACATAAGTTCAATCAGCAAAAATAAGTGAAGGTTTGTGTACAGCAGATTCACTCATGGATCGACAGCACAAACTTGTTGTAGTATCGCAAAATTCAGAAGTGGAATAAGTCAAAAGCAGCTGTTCTTAGTGGCTAATTACAAACGAATTTAGCATTTCGAAACTTTGATAATCTCAAAGGCACGAATTATAATTGGCGTAATGTACTCAAATCATTCAAAAATGTCAAAGAGATAAGATCGACCTGGAAATTAAACCAGTAAGTATATAATACTACTACTCTACTAGTATTATTACGCGTCGTGTTAAGCTGTGGATATATTCATTTCAAAGGTACTGTCATTTCGCGTCGTTTTCAGTGGATGTAATTTGTTTTAGTGTGAACAACAATTTGTTTCATTCATTTGAAAATGTCGAAATTTTGTACCAGATAAAGTTTTTTTGCGGGGAGTTCTTCTTCATTACTTTAACATGAAAAAAAGTGCTATCGAAAGCCATCGTATTTTACTGGACGTTTATGGTGGCCATGCTTCAGCAGAACGAACGTACCAAAAGTGGTTTGCACGGTTTAAAAGTGGGAATTTCGACTTGAGACGACGGACAGCCGAAAAAAATTTCAACACGAAAAATTGGAGACATTGCTCGACGCAGACGCATGCCAGACGCAAGAAGAACTTGCAAAAGTATTAAGAATTAATCAACGAACCGTTTCCAGATGATTAAAATCATTTTTTCACAATAAAGTCTTAATTTTCGAAAAAAACCGCACGATCTAATGCATACACATCAATAGAATAAAGGATGGAATTGCTTCGTAGGGCTAACGTAAGCTCTTCACCACGTTAGACAGATAACAGTTAAGCAACTAAAATTAAAAAAAAAAAACAAGCTGCATAATATAAAAAAAACTAAAGCTCAATTATAAAATAATAATACATTTTGTGATGATTGTTGTTGATAATACAACTACAACAAATAAACAACAATAAAAAATTTTTAATAACTAATAAATATAAAACAATACATTGACGAAAATAAAACAGAAAATAAACTGATAAATCCAACGAAGTTATAACTACAAAATAACAACAACCAGAATACAACAATAAAATTACAATAACGAAATTACAACAATAAAATTGAAATAACGAAATTACAACAATAAAATTACAATGAAGAAATTACAGCACTAAAAATTACAACAACGGAATTACAACAATGAAATTACAACAATGAAATTACAACAGCGGAATTATAACAATAAAATTACAACAACGGAATTACAACAATGAAATTACAATAACGAAATTACAACAATGAAATAACAGCAACAACTAAATGGCAACAACAGCAAAATTGCAGAAGACGCGCAATTACATTAACAAGCCTACAACAACAACATTACTAAAGGAAAATATCAACAATAAAGGCACAATAACCGCAAAAAAAAACAGCAAAAATTATTAGTTACAGGAACTACATTTATATTTCTTAAGTTTTTTTTTATTGAAATTTCTATTAAATTTTGTTTTATTGAAGAAAATTAAAAAAATGAGAAAAAACAATAATTTTATGACCCACTGTAATATATTCGCTTTTTGTTCATTCTTCTTAGTACATTTAGTATAATAACAAATGTTATGTCGTGATAATATTTATTACCAGCTAATACCACAGTAGACATACATACATACATACATATCTACTGCACTAAACCATTGTCGAAATAAAAATTCCTACTAAACTTTACTAACTCTCCTCTTTACAGGTTGATTTCTGTTTGCTGGCAGTGGTGAGGGCCAGACGACAACGACGGCGGAGCTCAACAGTTGCCGACTTTTTTCCAGTAATGCAACAGCAAAATCTCCAGTGTACTAAGCAAAAATTTGTGTCAACTGCCCTCGATAAAAGTAAACGTAATAAATTTAACGGCTGGTAATCGGACGTACGTAATTGCAAAAACAACAAATATATACGAATTTTCAAAAAAAAAAAATCAAAAAATAAAAAACACTTCGGTAATAGCAGTTGGCGGTGGCAATTAGCACGTAAATTGTGACAAAAACCTTTTTGGCAGTGTTTCAAACTCAACTCTTCTCTTTGTTGCTGTTTGCGCTCTTCGTGTTGCGTTAAAAGCTTTAAATTCACTTTTATTTGGCAAGCTACACGCACTAAAGTGCTTAAGTGTTGAAATAAAGCTACATAGTTGGGGTTGTTGTTGTTAGTCCCGTTAGAGGACGTTAATGGCCGATGGAAATGTTATGTCAGCAGCTTCCATAGGACATGCAGCTGCTGACTACTATACAGTAGTAGCGCCAGCAACAGCAACAGTCTCAGCAACACCAACACCCATACCAACACCTACACTCATTACAACAACATCAACAACAGCAGGAGCAGGAGCAGCAGCAGCAGCACAACCGTCGGGCAATATGGCTGGCAATGGCAGTGTAGGCAACAATATCTGTGGCATCGCCGGCGGCGTCATGCAGACGAGTAGTGGTGTTACTGTTGCGGCAGTGGGTGGCAGCAGCAGTGGCAATGGCACAAGTATGGGCGGTAGCAATATAAATTTGAATGGGTCAGGGACGGTCGGGGCAGTATCATCGGGTGCAACAGCCAGTAGCGGCAATCAAGGTTATCACCAGTTGAGTGTGACCAGTAAGTACATACAGACGGAATTTTTATTCATTTATGTAAATATATGTATAAATTATTTACCAAATAAATTTCGTTTCTTTTTCTTTACAGTTGAGGAAGCCTCATTGCGTAATAATGGGTTTCTAAAACCAAATCCATATGTTGAATTAGTAATCGATAATAAAAGTAAACGCAAAACTGATGTGGTGAAGAATACTTATCTACCCAAGTGGAATGAGGAATTCACAGTGCTGGTATGTTAATGCCCTATAAGTGTTAGAGAAATCGAATTGTCTATTAATTGAAGGTGATATTAGAGGTTACTTTTTGTGCAGTTAGTTCGCTATTAAGTTCATTTCGAAATTGTTGCGCCGAATGGGGGCAAATTTTGTAGTTTCCTGGGTATTAAATACTCTATCCAGTCAAATATTGAGGAAGAAATATAAAAAAATCCTCAAGAATAATTTTTTTTTAATTGCAAAAATACAGATTTATATAGAGAAGTTGGCCCCTCCGTCTTGCATATAAGTTCACAGAACTAATAAAAATGACTGATGAAATGTAATAAAAAAAGTAAAAAAATAAAAAAAGTAAAAATAAAACATTAAATATATAAAAATGTAAAAAGCAAAAAAAAAAAAAATAAAAAAAAGTAAAAATAAAATATTAAATATATAAAAATGAAAAAAAATACAGAAAAAATTGAAAAAAAACTAAAAATAAAAAAATTAAAATTAAGTAAAATAACGTAAAGAAAAGATTAAAATGAAAATTAAGTAAAATAACGTAAAGAAAAGATTAAAACGAAAATAAAAACTTAAAATGAAAATAAAAATTTAAAAAGAAAATAAAAATTTAAAAAGAAAATAAAAATTTAAAAGGAAAATAAAAATTTGAAAAGAAAATAAAAATTTAAAAAGAAAATAAAAATTTTAAAAGAAAATAAAAATTTAAAAAGAAATAAAAAATTTAAAAAGGGGAAAAAAATTAAAAAAAAAAATTTAAATTAAAAAAAAAATTTAAATTAAAAAAAAATTTAAATTAAAAAAAAATTTAAATTTAAAAAAAAAATTTAAATTAAAAAAAAAAATTGAAATTAAAAAAAAATTAAAATTAAAAAAAAAGGAATTAAAAATTTAAAAATGAAAAAACGATAAAAAATAACAAAATTTAAAAAGGTCAAAAGTATAAATAAGAACAATTGGAAATAAAAAAAATTAAAATTATAAAAAAAAATATTTAAAACTAAAAATAAATAAAAATAAAAATGAAAAATAAATAAATGAAAAAAAAATATAAAAACCTTTAAAGAAGTGGGAAAAATAATATCAAAAAAATAATTAAATTAATAATAATGATTAAAATTAAAAAATTAATAATTAATGAATAAAATGATTAAATAAAACAAATAAAAAATTAAAAGGAAAGTAAAACTTAGAACAATTATAAATAAATGAAAAAAGAATAAATAATAAATACATATAGAATGAAAAAATAGAATATATAAAAATATTAAATATATAAAAATATTAAATATAATATATAAAAAACAAAACACATAAGAAAATAAAATAATGCGGCTTATTCCATAAAAACCGTATATTCCAAAATTATTTTACAACTCTGCCATCCTCTGCATCTATACAACGATTCCAGCGCATTTTTCATGCTTCTTAACATCTCTGCAACACTTCGACTGGGATGTCTGATGATGCCTGAGTGTCCTCAATCGACTCAAAATGGGTTCCTTTGACCACCGAGTTTTTTTTCTAGGGATCAAAAAAAGTCACAGGGTGACATATCGGACAAATTCGGTTGTTGCAACACCGGGGATCCCTTTAGAGACTAAATACTGGAACATGCTGAGGGTGGTGTGGCACGGCGCGTTGTCGTGTTGAAGAATCCAGTTACGAGCGATTTTCGAGTGTTTGGCGATAGTAGACTTGATTTACGGTTTGATCTGGTGGAAGAAATTCTTTGTGGACGGTTTCATGGCTATCAAAAAAGGCAATAATCATCGTTCTTTCCATTTTCGTGACGAGCACCACAAACACAAGTTTACTAAACACGACACAGCAGGCGACCTAAACAAGCTAGAGCGATGGCAAATATATCAATGGAGAGTAGAAGGATGCCGAGAAAAGGGAAAGGGAATTTCATGGTCGTATGCTTGCCATAATCGCAGCAATATAATCAGTCCCATTACTTAATTGTCACACCTCGTGTAAAATTATAAAAATATAAAAAAATAAAATTATAATTATAATTTATAAAAATAAGAAATTAGAAAAATGTAAATTATAAAAAGAAAAAATTATAAAAATATAAGATTATAAAAATATAATTTATAAAAATAAAAAAATTTAAGTAAAGAAAATATAAAAATTTTATACATAATAAAACAATATAAAAATAACAAAATAAAAAACAAAAAGGTGTAAAATCACGGAATAAAGAGAAAAAATAAATTTAAAAAAAAAATAAATAAATAAACTTAAAAAAAGTTGAATAAACATTTACAAATAGCAATGGATGAAATAAAACTAAGAAATAAAAAAGTATTAAATAAAAGTAAAAACAATGTGTTCATAAATATATAATAATAATAAATAAATAACAATCAAATTTTAAATAAAAAAATAATAAATATTTAAACAGTAATAAATAAAAAATAATAAATATTTAAACAGTAATAAATAAAAAATAATAAATATTAAGAATGAAAGATAGTTAAAAAATAGGTAAATAAAATTAAAAAATTAAAGCCGATAAAAATGAGAATAAAAATACTTAAATAAATAAAATTTATTTCATAAAATAAAAAATTAAAATTAATAAACAAATAAAAAAACTATGATTTGCAAATTCTAGTTTATTCCTCATTTTTTTATTGCTGGCTTCCATTATAAAAGAGGTTGGTGTTAGTTCACATCGCTTTTACCGGCAAATTCATATATTTTCCCCTTTGTAAATTTGTATAAAGTGTCTATTTGAAATAATTGCTGGGAATTTCAAACATCAAAAACAACCGTTGCTCCACCGTTATGGGGAAAAATTCTATAATTACATATTTTATTTATTACTATTTCCAACGAAGTGTTCTTCTTGTGTGCATTTGTTGTAAATATATGCCATAAATAAGTCTATAAATGTGTACATACATACATTAAGATATACTCAGATATTCTGTATTGATTTTAATTTAATAATTGCTCTTCACCTCACTTGAAATTGGTTGTTCCCTGTAGTGCGTTGGCCATTGAAAGCGAATGAGTAGCTTTTAGAAAAAACATTTTCTATTGTAATAATTTTGATTTTTTATTTAATGTTTTTATTGATGGGAAAGTAAATATTAATGCGCGTGTTCGCTCCTTGATTTGATTGAAATGTATACAGTTACATACACATATGTATTCATATGTTTGTATCGTATTTATTTATAGACTTCACGCACTCCGTCTTAATTTCTCCATTTGTTTTTTTCTTTTTTGCATTTCGCTCTTTAATTTGCCTTTTTTTTAACTTTTATTGCACCTGCTGTCTGTTTGTTTGTTTGTTTTGTAATTTAATCGACGAAGTGCGACATTAATTGCTTCAATGCGAAGTTGTGCTTGTATGGGATCGTAACGCAGAGTGGGAGTGCCTTCGCGCACTTCTTCATACTGATTTAGTCATCTTTGATTTTTCACAATTCACCATGTTATTAACCTCTGGATGTGATTTTGAAAGTAAAGCGTAGCAGATGTCACAAAGTATTTATCTTCCCATACCAAATCGTAATGTGGCTAGATTCCTCCTATTAAGGTGATTGGCTCCTCTCGTACACTGGCTTGCATCTCAGATCAGATGTCATTCTGGTGTCGGCTTATATTCCTTTTAGGGGAAGCATCAATTTTACTTGATTACAATTTTATTGCAGACATCCCCCGAATTAATGAGATTGTTTCAATAATACAAAAAATTGCTCTCCTCTTCCAGATAACGCCGAACTCCGCGCTGCACATCAAAGTGCTCGATCATTCGAGTTTTCGCAAAGATACTTTACTCGGCGAGCGAGTCATCCATTTGGCATTCGTGCTGCAACAGTTCAATGGACGATGCGAATTCCTCGAACTGACAATGGATCTAATGGCCACCTCCAAATCGGACAATCGGCAAACGAAAGTGGGCGAGCTCGTCGCTATGCTGAACGGACTTAAGTTAGACATGCCGCTTGTGGCACAACAAAACGGCAACGGCATGCAAATGTTGCCGCCGACGATAAATGGCGATGGGGCTGCGATGCCGCCTACCGCCGGACGCAGTTACATCATACAAAATGGTGTGCGTGGGCGCATGCGTGTGCGCTGCATGGAAAACGGACAACTTACAGCGGCAGCGGTAGCGGCGGGTAGTGGTGGTAATGTGGCGCACTTAACTGCAGCTGGTGGCTCGCGTTCACCGATCGCCAATGGCAATTTGGAGCGCTGCAGTAGTGGTGGCAACGTACAGGCTTGCGCGGTGCGTCGTGCAGCGCCACCGTTGCCGCCACCCGTGTGGGAACAACAACAGCCGATGGCCCAAGCGCAGACGCAACATGTCGCACAACAACAATTACAAGTGCAACAGCAGACACAAATGCAAGTGCAGCGTGTAACGTCGATGAATGGCGGCGGTGCTGTAACGGTGAACGCTGCGGGCGTTCAAGTGCGTCCGATGTCGCAGATGTATGCAAATGGCGCAGCTGTGGGTGGCGCACAGCCAATGTCGCTGCCACCGCCACAACAAACACAACAACCGCAAACGCAGCAACAATTAATGGACAGTGCGCTGTTGAGCGCGGCGGGTGATCAGGGGGCGTTGTTGGCGCAGGGGGCGATGCCGGTCTCCAATGTATCGGATCAGCAGTTGCAGGTGCGTAGATGAAATTATCTTACTTTTTATTTAAAATTAATTTTTTATATTTTATTCCTTTATTGTGCTAACAGGCCGCACAAGCTGACGATGAACCGTTACCCGCCGGCTGGGAGATACGGTTTGACCAATACGGCCGTCGCTACTACGTCGATCACAATACACGTTCGACGTATTGGGAAAAACCTACGCCACTACCGCCTGGTTGGGAAATACGCAAAGATCCACGCGGTCGCGTCTATTATGTCGATCATAATACGCGCACGACCACCTGGCAACGACCGAACAGCGAACGCCTCATGCACTTCCAACACTGGCAGGGACAGCGTGCGCATGTGGTGGCACAAGGTAATCAACGTTTCCTCTACTCACAACAACAGCAACAACCAACGGCAGTAACGGCGACAGTGACACAAGACGATGAGGATGCGCTCGGGCCGTTGCCCGATGGCTGGGAGAAGAAGGTGCAATCAGATAATCGCGTATACTTTGTGAATCACAAGAATCGTACCACACAGTGGGAGGATCCGCGCACACAGGGTATGTGACAATGCTTAGTAGCTTGAGTAGTATTATATTCTTTCTCTTTCTTTTTGTTGCGGCTATTGTATAGGACAAGAAGTCAGTTTGATGAATGAAGGTCCATTACCGCCCGGTTGGGAGATACGCTATACCACAACCGGTGAACGTTTCTTCGTCGATCACAATACGCGTCGCACCACCTTCGAGGATCCGCGTCCGGGCGCACCGAAAGGTGCCAAGGGTGTATACGGTGTACCGCGCGCCTATGAGCGTTCCTTCCGTTGGAAGCTCTCACAATTCCGCTACCTGTGCCAGAGCAACGCATTGCCATCGCATATTAAGATCACAGTGACGCGTCAGACGCTCTTCGAAGATTCGTACCACCAAATAATGCGTTTGCCTGCCTATGAACTGCGTCGTCGGCTCTACATTATATTCCGCGGCGAAGAAGGTCTTGATTATGGTGGCGTTTCACGTGAATGGTTCTTTTTACTCTCACACGAGGTGCTCAATCCCATGTATTGTCTCTTCGAGTATGCCAACAAAAACAACTACAGTCTACAAATAAATCCGGCCTCGTATGTGAATCCAGATCATTTGCAATACTTCAAATTTATTGGGCGTTTCATAGCGATGGCGCTATATCATGGTCGCTTCATTTACTCTGGCTTCACGATGCCTTTCTACAAGCGTATGCTTAATAAGAAATTAACTATAAAAGACATTGAGACCATCGATCCGGAATTTTATAATTCCCTTATATGGGTGCGTGATAATAATATTGATGAATGTGGTTTGGAGTTGTGGTTTAGCGTCGATTTCGAGGTGCTCGGTCAGATCATACACCATGAACTGAAGGAGAATGGTGAAAAGGAGCGTGTGACCGAGGAAAATAAGGAGGAGTACATAACGCTGATGACGGAATGGCGTATGACGAGGTGAGTCCTGAAATATGTGTATAGGTAAAAGACGTGTTAGAAAGATCAAAGTATAGATGACAAAATATGATCTCGCATTATAAAATCAACAACCAGCCGTCAACGTTTTAGTTGAGTAAAGCAGTATTCAGTGCGAATCTAAAGTAATTTTGTTGCATTGATCTATGTGCCAAAGACAAGGCGGACACACGGACTTGTTACAGTATCACCCTTTCACTGCGCGATATCATGCTTCCGGTCGTATAAGCAAGCAGTATCCGCTTGAAGCATATCTTTTAAGTTAGCCTGTCTGAAAGGCCAATCAAAGGCTTTCGCAACTCCCTCTTATTGTATGCGAAAGAGTCGAGTTTTCCCAACAGATCCAAATGGTTTCAATGCCACTAATGTCTGAACAAAGTAGCAGGCAACTCTTATTTATATATATACTCAACCCCTACATATCCAACATATGCTCAGCACTTCTTTGCACGCCACCTAGAGCTCTTTGGCCGACGCATCTAAATCCTCTCTCCCTTTGGCCCGAGCAAATTTCCTTGGACTCCCGACAGAAGAAATTTCCTTGTGGAATGACGAAAGTTTCATCCGAAAGTATTCCCGTCTCTTTTTGAGATAACCTTTAGCAGAATTTGTGTTTCGCGGTGTTGAGGACCCTTTCGACATCTATAGAGAGTAAAAAATCGTACACAAGCTTCATTTTTGCTATCAATAACTAATGGGTTAAGATGAGACGGTATAGGAGGTAAACTGGCATGTTGTGAGAAGCTCCGCTGGACTGGAAATGCCTAGTTCCTCGTAGTGGTAATAGAATCGATGGTACAATTGTAAAGGCTTGACGCTCTGTTGTGAAACTCCCTCTGGTTCTTAAGATCCTATGAAGATTAACTACGGGTTCAAATATTGCACGTGTTGCTTCGAACAATGGTGAGATATTTATGTAGTAGTCTAAGGCAAATAAAGAAAAAATATTCTATCCGACCCAAGTTGGAGTCAATTCCAGACCGGATGAAAAGGATTTGGAGCAACTAAACTGCATGATGTTGCCGGTTAAAGTCCGCTATCAATTCCGATGTGTAAAACCGCCTGTCGTTAGATGGCTCCTATAATACCGATTGATGAATTAGGAACCGAATTTGCTATAGTACCGTAATATACAGAATTCCTTAATTGATTTCAAACTAATTTTCAGAGGTATTGAGCAACAAACAAAAACGTTCCTGGAAGGCTTCAACGAAGTCGTACCGCTTGAGTGGCTCAAATATTTCGATGAACGAGAGTTGGAGCTAATTTTGTGCGGCATGCAGGATGTGGACGTGGACGATTGGCAGCGCAACACAATATACAGGCATTACAATCGCAATTCGAAGCAAGTGATGTGGTTCTGGCAGGTGGGTACATAGCAAAAAAAAAAAATGTTATTAAAATTATATATTGTATATATTTTTTTAAATATCTCCACACTAATTTCATTTCTTTCAATCAAAAACAGTTCGTACGCGATACGGATAATGAGAAGCGTGCACGTCTGCTACAATTCGTGACCGGCACATGCCGGGTGCCAGTCGGCGGTTTTGCTGAGCTGATGGGCTCGAATGGACCGCAACGTTTCTGCATTGAGAAGGTCGGTAAGGAGACATGGCTGCCGCGTTCGCATACATGCTTCAATCGTTTGGATTTGCCGCCCTACAAGAGCTACGATCAGCTGGTGGAGAAGTTGACATTTGCCATTGAAGAGACTGAGGGCTTCTGCCAAGAGTAGAAGGCTTAATGTCACGTACGGGGTTGGAAACGAGTGTAAACAAAATAAAATATTTTTTTTTGCGTTGTTTTAGCAGAGTTACATTATTATTGTACAACTGCAACTCTTAAGCAACGAATTCGCGCCGATTTAATGCAATTTTAAAGTTTTTTTTTTGTTTTGAGTTCCAAATACACACATGCAAAAAAAATTTAATAAGAAGTACAAGTGTGCTGTGTCAAATCTGTGGTGTTTAGTTGTGTGCATGTGTTTTTTTCTTTTGTTTAAATTTCTATATAAATTACTTAACGGCAAGCAGCTGCTTTAGCTAAGCTTAGATTCAAACGCATATCATTTCATTGTAACTTTTTGTGAAAGACAAAAAAAAAAAAGAGGAAAAAGAGGAAGCAAACAACTATAAGCGCTTGTTTAATTGTATTAAGAAATATATATGTAGTATAATTATTAAACACTTTTAGGGTATTTTGCAAAATATATTATATGTATGCGAACATAATGAGTTTTTGCGCGCAGAAACATGTTTTAAATGATTTAAATGTTAATATATGAAAACCTACCACATAGTAACGTTGCCGTCTTGCAGTGTGCACACATTATCCTTCCCAAAAATTTCATTTAATTTCTTTCATTATAATTATTTGCATACTTATATTAATATATTTGTGTATATTCTATATTTTTTATTGACATATAATTTAATTTCAAAATTTGTATATAGCACAGAAAATATAAATAAATATTATTGTTAATTTTACATTTAGTAATTGGTTACAAACGTATATATACACATGTAGGAGTATGTGTGCTGACACTTTAGTGTTGAAATTACTTAAGCAAATACATATTCATCAATATTATTATTACATTACAATTGGTAAAAGACATTCGAGAACGTTATGCATAAAAACGACATTCAGTTTGAAATTTTAAATAAAAGAAATTGAAAATACAAAAATATTTATGCAGTTGTTTTTGGTTTGCTTTGGATTTGGTGGTTAAAATGGGAGGACATTTTTTTGTTTTCTTTTCTCTAAGAGATTTGTATTTTTCATGGCTTATATACTACTGAATATTGAATAATAGTACTTTTCAGTAAATAAAAAAATTTAATTTCAAAATCAGTAAGCGAAAAATATGTTATGATTAAATTTTTATAAGTAAAATTTTTGGTTAAATAATTTTTTTATAATACAAATTTTTATATTTAGTTTATAATTAAAATTCTTTAAAATTAACATTTTTGTAATCAAAACTTAATTAAAAATTAATTAAAATTTTTTTGATTGCCATTTTTTGTAATTCAAATTTTTTTATAGCTCAAGTTTTTAATAATTAAAATTTTTTATAATCAAAATTACTTATAAAAATAATTTTGGCTTGTTGATATTTTAAACTTTTATTAATTTATAAATCTTTTATATTGTGAGAATTTTGTACTTTATTTCCGTTTTGTAAGTTTTAAAGTTTATGTCTGCTTGTTTGCTTTTTAAATTTTTATTTTAATTTTTAATGCTCGACTTTTAAAGGAAATAATTTAGTAAACAATTCTTAAATTTTTTGTTTCCGACTTGTCTAATGATTTTTTATTTGCTTATTGTTCTTTTCTTTTTTATTTGTTTAATTCAAGATTTATAAAACAACTAATTTACTAAATATTTGAACAATGCTGGATTTGTCGCATCTACCATATTTTTTTTAAATTTTTTTAAATACATTTTGTTTGTTGCTCTTTAAACATTTTATGTGTAAAATCTAAATTTTTGATATTTCTATCGATAAATTTTTAGAATTTTTGCTAATAAAGATGTTTGGAAAAGAGTTGGTTGGAAAAGAGTTAAAGTAAAAACATTAAAGATTAAAAAGTATATCTTAGGTTTTTGTTAACAAATTAAAAGTAAATTTATATTTATATGTAATTTTTGCTTTATTATGATCTCTTTTTTACTTTACTTCATTTAATTTTCTTTTTTTTTTAACTAATTTTTTTTTTATTTTATTTTTATTCATTTTTCAATTTCAATTTTGTTTAATTTTTGGATTTTTTATTATTTCAACATTTTTTATTATTATTTAAATATTTTTATTTTTAATCTTAATTTATTTATTCCATATTATTAAACAATATTGTTTCCTTTAATCAATTTAATTTTTTAATCTTTAATATGATTTACTTTTAATTTACTTTATTATTATGATCTATTTTTTATTTTATATAACTCGTATTACTTACTTTTGTTTCTATATTTTTTTATTTTTTTTAAATCATTTTTCAATTTTGGTTTTGTATTATTTTTGGATTTTTAATTTTATAATTTTTTTAAAATATTTTTTTCAATTTTTTATATAAAATTTTTATTTATTTATTTTTTTTTAAATTTGATTAATTTTTTTTTGATAATTCGATATTGTTATATTGTGTTATTTTTTATTCCATATAATCAAACAATATTATTTTCTTTAATCAATTTAACTTTATTTTTTATTGCTATTTTGTTTTCCTTTATTTTTATTTAATTTAATTAAATTTAGTTTAATTTTTTTATTTTGCTTTAGATTATTTAAAATTACAATATAATATTTTACTTGCATTTTTTAATGTTATTTTCTGTATTTTTTTAGTTTCATACATTTGATTTCATTACATATTTTATTTTAGTTTTATTTTAATTTATTTATTTTTTATTTATTTTATGTCTTAATTTATTTTGATTATTATTACTTTTTTATTTTTATTTTATGTTACATTAATTATTTTTATTTTATTTCATTTATTGTATTTTATTTTATTATTTTATTTGTCGTATTTTATTGCATTATTTTATTTAATTATTTATGCTATTTTATTTATATGATTTTTTAGTTTGTTTTACTTAGTTTTGCTTTTTATATTTTTTTATTTGTTTTTTACTTTGCTGCGTTATTTCTATTTTATTACTTTTAATACTCGTATTATACAAACATATATTATTTTTTATTCAATTCTATTTGGCATTATTTGCTTTCAACTTATTTTAAACAGTTTAATTATGTTAAAATTTATTATTTATACAATTTTGTTGTATTCAACTTTTTTATTAAATTTTTCTGATTCATTTAACTTAGTTTTTTTATTACTTTTTTATTCCATTTTCTGTTATATTATTATATTGTGTTTTAAGTCGCTTATTGCATTTTATTTAATTTGAATTTTTTATTTGAATTAAATTAAATTTAAATTTTTAATCCAATTTTGTTCCTCATTTGTTTGATTTTATTTTATCATATTTTTTTAATCTATTTAATTTCATTAAATTTAATATAATTTTATTTCATTTCATTTTAGATTAATTTATTTTTATAATTGTGGTTTTTATTTTAATTTTAATTTAATTGAATATTTATTTATATTTAATTGAATGAAGAGCAAAAAAACGGAAGAGAGATATTTGACAACCTTTTATATGTCAATTTAATTTAATTTTATGTTATTTTGTCCCATTCAATATAATAATTTAATATAGTTAGGTTTTTATAGCAATTTTTTTTCTATTTTACTAATAATTTCTTTTTTATTTATTTAATATATTATTATTATTTTTATTTATTATTTTTTATTATTTTTATTCCATAAGTGACACCGAAATCATAAATACTTATAAAGGCAGTGAAGGCATTTGATGCTCGCAAAGCTAGTGAAAAGGCGCTAAAACATAAAGCAATTACATATACAACTGAAAATAAAAAAAATATACAAAATAAAAATAATAAAATTAAAATATATTAACTAAAAGTGGACCCATACATAAGAAAAATTAATAGGAAATTATGTTAGTAAAGAAAAAGGAAAAAAATTAAATACATAAACAGACATACATACATATAATATATCGTGAAGAAATTGAATACACCGGCAAAAATAAACTTAAGTCTAAATGTAACAAAAGTATAGGCAAGAAATGATAGAATACGTGTACATGTGTATGCGTACAAGATATAAATATACACGTATACATATGTATTATATATAATATATACATAACTATGTATGTATGTAGTACTGTTGTTACTAATTTCATAGCGAAAACCAATAGATCTTCAAGATAATAAAAAAAAATATATATACATACATATAACTATACGAAATTACTTACATACATACATATATAAATATAGCGTGTGTGTGCGAACTAAAAAAATAAGTCATAATTATGAAACAATAAATATAAAGAAATGAAACATGCCGACTTAACGGTCAGTTTAAGTTTTTAGTGCTCTAGTTTTCAATACATAATTTTTTTTTTGCAATTAAAGTTAATAAAATTACAAATACATACATATACAAATATTTATATACACTTTTGATTTTTTTTATATATTTTTTAATCAATTAAGTCAATTTTCTAAAACTAAATGGTATTCTAAAAATTCATAGACATCAGGAGTGTGTAACAAGTATAGAGAAAAATACAGAAAAAATAGAGAGAGCGAGAGAGAGAGAGCGTGAAAGCGAAATATGTTTGTATGAACTGATTTACGAATCATTCCCACTCGTGTGCAAAGGAGTAACTGTGCTGTTTTAATAAGTTCTGTTTATAATATATACATACATACATATAAAATAATAAATAAAGAACTATATTATTAGAAAAAAAAATATTTATGCGAATTTTGCCTCTTTACTGAAATAATTTGTCTATGAAGGTAGATCGAATTTTTTCCTATTTAAGAGTTAGGCTAACTGCAGCGATTTTCGCTCGAGCTGATGGCGGAACTTTTATGTTAGAAATTGCCAAGCGGCGACTGCAATTGAAAAATTGATTTTCGATAAGTTTGGATGTTCATCGAAGCTGGACTTGATCCCTGCTCTTCAGAATGGCTGCAGGCTACGGCAAACACTTTCATTCCATGGCTGCGGTATTCACCGTTCCCATCGATTCATCAGATGTTGTCTTCGTCTGTGCCTGTGCGCCATATACCAGGTCGGCAATAATGAGTGAGTTGTAGAGTTTGGTCCTTGTTCGTCGAGAGAGAGGTCTTTACTTTTCAATTGCTTACTCAGTCCAAAGTAGTTCCTGTTGGCAAGAACGATTCTGCCTTGGATTTCAAGGCTGACTTTGTTGTTTGGACGAAATAATCTACGACCTCGAAGTTATGCGATGACTAATTGTTTGATGACAGGAGATCCTTCATCTTGTCCTCGTTCACTACCAGACCCATTCGCTTCGCTTCTTTATCAAGCCTGGAGAAAACAGAACTAACGGCGCGGTTGTTGTGGCCAATAATGTCGATATCATCGGCGTACGCCAGCAGCTGCACACTCTTGTAGAAAATTGTACCTTTCTCTTTTCAGCTCTGCAGCTCGTATTATCTTATCTCCAGCATCGAATTGAAGAAGTCACACGACAGTG